CCATGAAAGCTTATGCTCCAATACGTCTGTTAGTCTATAAGGTGCCAAGGGACTCTTTGTTGCTTTTTACAGATCCAGACTAACATGGCTACCTCTCTGATACTTGACATTCTGAGTAGTGATTATTATCTCTCCATGCAAGGAGGTCTTACTTTTGAAACCATATTAGTTATTTGCTTGAAAACAGCTTTTTGATTAATGCTTTGGTTGTGTGATTTACCTTTCTTGGCTCTCAAAGTTTTCCTCCACAGAGTGGAGAAAATCCCATCTGTCCAGTCATTGGTTGCTACATCAAGGCGACCAAACATCTGAGGTGCTGTGATAGCTTTGGGATTCATTCTCATTTCACGGTGTGGCTGTCCGCAATCTGCAAAGGTCAAATCAATCTGTCAACCTTTGGTATTTCAAGCCAAATGTCATGGTACAGTATTACACTAACTTACCACACAAAATTATATGGCTGTTAGTGGTTTACTACTATCATAACTGCAAGAATACTTCGAAAATTCATTTCTTCTTGTACACCAAATTGATAATTAGAGCTGTCAAAAAATTAACAATAAAGTACTCTGTCCATGCATGATGTAAAAGGGGAATCCGTGCATTGACAAGTAAAGGAGAGCACAACAACATGATGACATGTATTTAAGGCCTTATTTAAGGTGGCGATTCTTTAAACTACATAGCTCCAAAGCCTTTAATTTTCAATGTAGTTTTCTATATCTTGTGCTTGGAGTACCACACAGAAACTTTATTCTCCACATTCCCTCATTTTCTGTGATACGTTCTTGCTCGCCTTGGACTAACCCAATTAAATTGTAGTTGCATGATTATAGAACTTCTCAAGCAGCCACAGGGAATGCATTTATATCACCAGCATCTGACCTTTAAAATCCCTTTATTAATACAAGACTATGTTTCATTTTCCAAAAATGTTTAATGTTTGATCAGCAGTAGAGATGTAACAAAATCTTAGCTCTAATAATCCTGAGTAAAGTATAGAAAATGGACCTTTAAAAATAGGACTTGCATTGCACATAAACACCACCCTATACCGGAAACCTACTGACCGCTATACGTACCTACATGCCTCCAGCTTCCATCCAAGACACATCACACGATCCATTGTCTACAGCCAAGCCCTAAGATACAACCGAATTTGCTCCAACCCCTCAGACAGAGATAAACACCTACAAGATCTTTATCAAGCATTCTTAAAACTACAATACCCACCTGGGGAAGTGAGGAAACAGATTGACAGAGCAAGACGGGTACCCCGAAATCACCTACTACAGGACAGGCCCAACAAGGACAATAACAGAACACCACTGGCCATCACGTTCAGCCCCCAGCTAAAACCTCTCCGGCGCATTATCCACGATCTACAACCTATCCTGGAAAATGATCCCTCACTCTCACAGACCTTGGGAGGCAGGCCAGTCCTCGCTTACAGACAACGCCCCAACCTGAAGCAAATACTCACCAGCAACTACACACCACACCACAGAAACACCAACCCAGGAACCAATCCCTGTAGCAAACCTCGTTGCCTACTCTGTCCCCATATCTACTCTGGTGACACCATCAGAGGACCCAACCACATCAGCCACACCATCAAGGGCTCATTCACCTGCACATCTACTAATGTTATATATGCCATCATGTGCCAGCAATGCCCCTCTGCCATGTACATTGGCCAAACCGGACAGTCCCTCCACAAAAGAATAAATGGACACAAATCGGACATCAGGAATGGTAACATACAAAAGCCAGTAAGTGAACACTTCAATCTCCCTGGTCATTCTATTACAGATTTAAAAGTCACTATCATTGAACAAAAAAACTTCAGAAACAGACTTCAAAGAGAAACAGCAGAACTAAAATTCATTTGCAAATTTAACACCATTAATCTGGGCTTGAATAGGGACTGGGAGTGGCTGGCTCATTACAGAAGCAGCTTTTCCTCTCCTGGAATTGACACCTCCTCATCTATTATTGGGAGTGGACTACATCCACCCTGATTGAATTGGCCCTGTCAACACTGGTTCTCCACTTGCGAAGTAACTCCCTTCTCTCCATGTGTCAGTATATAATGCCTGCATCTGTAACTTTCACTCTATGCATCTGAAGAAGTGAGGTTTTTACCCATGAAAGCTTATGCCCAAATAAATCTGTTAGTCTTTAAGGTGCCACCAGACTCCTTGTTGTTATTGCAAGAAGGAAATTTTTCATTTTAAATACCAGTAGTGACCAGAAGTGTGCAAATGCTGTGCAAATAATTATGCAGTTTTGCAAATCATAACCTGACAAAACTACTGCAGTATACTGTCATCTGTGGACATTATTACTTCAGATATTCAGACTGACAGATGTGTTGCATCATCTGTATCTTGGCAATGTTCAGTAAAAAGTTCTGCAGAAATATACAAAAAACTCTAAGAAGGTACCATATTGCCTTTGTGTTCTTTTCTGAATGAGAGCCTAAATTAAAAGATTAGATTATTTTGATCTTATGCTGGCTTTAACTGAACCAAGATATTGCATGGAAGTGTATTACAGTTTGTCCTCTCTCTTCAAAACTATTCCTTTACACTACATCTTCACAGGCAACTTGGCAAGTCTAACAGGAATCATATAAAACCAATGCTGTGAAGTAGTCAGGTAATAAATAGCCTCAGAAAGCCATCTACAGCAACAAATAACTATTGACTGGCATAGAGAATAAGAAAGAAGATATTTAACTCTTGAATTAAACTAGTGTTAGGTTATGTTTGTTACTTTTGTGCATGCCTGGGATAGTATTTCTGTACCATTACTATTTACATTATGTACTAGTAACTGTATGTGCATGCATAAAGTTACCCAGGTATTTATCTACACTATTTATAAGTAGAAATTCACTGCATTTTCAAGAGATGCTTTTGTGAACCTAAAGAACTGAAGACACAATTTGTACAAATGTTGGTCCTTGGAGGTCAGGTCTGAAATTTAGTGTCCTTAAAACATAAGATTGAGGGTTAGGCCCAAAGGTCTAGTGACAATGCTCTTATTTACCATATCAAAGACCTGGATTTGAAGTCTTGGCTCGACAGTTCCTTCCAGGGACAAGAAATATGGAGAAAGCTGCAGAAGCAACATGCTTAGTTTTGCTACAGGAGATGGGAAAAAATTGCCTCAAAAAGATACCACTCCATCCCAAATATTAAAGTTTTAGATCACAGAATCCAAAAGCCCATCAAATCTTTCTTTGGACTAGAAAGAAGATGGCCAACACATGGAACCCTGAGAGTATGAAATGGGGGGCAAGAAGGGAAAATGGTCATAATTTAGAACTATGAGAAAATAAGGTAGATTTCTGCAGGGCCAGCTCTACTGTTTTTGCCACCCTAAGCAGCACGCCGAATTGCCGTCGCGGACGGCGGGGGCAGTCCTTGTGCCGTTAGGGCAGCACGCGCGTTTCCGCGGCGGCGGCAATTCGGCGGCAGCTTCTGTCTTCAGCTGGAAGACAGAAGCCACCGAATTGCCGCCGCGGGCAGCTGAACATAGAAGCTGCCGCCAAATTTCCGCCGCCGCGGAAACACGTGTGCCGCCCTAACAGCACACTGACTGCCCCCGCCGTCCATGGAGGCAATTCAGCGCGCTGCTTGGGGCGGCAAAAACACATGGACTGCCGCCCCTTGCAGATTGCCGCCCCAAGCACCTGCTTGGAATGCTGGTGCCTGGAGCCGGCCCTGATTTCTGGAGACAAAGATGAACAACATCTTATGCTGTTAAAAATCCTTGCATTGGGCCTGTTTGATCATCTTCCACAATTATTCCTCATTAAGGGAATCTTCAACATTTCTTCAGCTCTGTCCTTTGAGACAATACACCCACCTACCCACCCTTCCAGCCTTTGTGTTCCTTATTTTGCACATCTCTTAAATGAAAGTCTCTGACGCTCATACTGGTGAGTTGAATGTAATGCAAGTACATGAGATCTTCTCCACGTTTTATTTTATTTATTTTTATTTATCAGTTTTTCCTTCTTAATTTGTTTTAATATTCTGCATAAAATTTAGAGAAGTAACCCTTGCTACTACTCAGTCATGAAGATTTGTGCGCTAGGGCACCGTACACTGAACCTCATCCTTACAATGATTTATCCCCTCTGGTAAAAGTAAACATTGTAAAGTATTTGCAAGAATAACAGAATTGTAAATCTGCTTTACATAACACAAATGGCTCCATACCTGTCATGGATTTCATCAGAGTGTGGATGCAAGTACTTTTACCTGCCCCACTAGGACCTAAGGCCATCATTCCATGCCTTACTTTCTGCGTTTCATACAGCTGGATAACTTTCAGTTTCCAAGGAGGATGACTAATTAGGCCAGCTTCTTCAACCTGTGGATATTGACATAAATCCAAACTATTGCTTCTTTTATGCATCAGAACAATTTGATAATCAGATTCAAGGTATAGATGCATTACAAGATCCTGATCATATTTAATTTTGTATTAAGTTTCAGTACTTCTAAAAGAACATTGGTTGAAGCCAAGTAATACAACAGTTTCTACACTGGAACTCAGTATCCCATCTTCCACAGTGATTTGAGGAAAACATACAATTCCAACAACAACGAAGTTTTAATACTGAAGGGGCAAACTTCAATATTGATGCAAAAAATGAATTATCATTTATTCTTGTAATGTTAGGTTGTTACAAACTTGCCTGCATCTTTACTGCATTGTAGCAGACACTTACAATTATTTTCATAGACATGATTTTGGAGAATGTGATAAGCAAATAAAAACATAAGCGTGTTAGGTTCAAGCTAAGGACATTCTGAGGAAATCTATTTTTTAATCAACATGACAGGCTCCTGCAGTGTCATAGAAGAAAAAACAATGTTTATTACCCCAACTCTGGAATGCAAATTTATAGATTATTTTGGTTTAACATCCTATACTATTTTTATACTACATTTTGAAAAATTAAGTTATGATTCATGTTTTGTATAGAACTACACGTTGAAATGCTATAAATGGTAGCTTGTTTAAAAGAAAGTGAGATTATTCTCTGTTCAAGATAAATAATGCCTAGGATATGATTTCAGAGCAATAAAACAAGTCAAAAAGAGGTCTTTTCACCCCCTCTTTTCTTCATTTCCTCAGTTTAAACCCAGACAAAGGATTTAAGTCTTATTTTCTGAAGTCTCCACTTAGCTTTTAAGAGAACACATATAGATGTTCTCTTAAGTTTGGTTACTTCTAACCCCATGTTGCCACTTAAAAGGTGAAAACTTTTGTTTATTCATTAAATGATCAAAATGGCATAAGCTTTTTTGAGATGTATATTTGTAAATATGCTGCATCTAAATCCATATAAAAACTTCTTGTTATGTGACTAGTAAGATATTTTATGTACAAATACAACAAGGTCATTTGATGCTGTAACTCATTAATGGAAGAAACCATATGAGTATAAAAATATTCAATTTAATTGGGAAATTAGTTATCTGACAATCATCGTAATGGGACATCCCCCAGAGACGTGGCCCCCTTGCAGATCAAGCACCACCTGGATCGATCTCTGGCTAGGTCCTTAAGGTAGCTTGGAGGGATACTTAGTGTGTTCATCACTGGCAATGTTATTGTGCCATCAAAGCTTTTGGCACCCACAAAATTGCCAGCTGCATAGTGGCATTCCTTGGTGTACACACCTCAGAATTTGTTGGTCTTTGATTCTTATAATATGTCCAGCCAAAAAAAAGATGTTGAAACTGAACCAGTGGTAACACCAGCAGTTGCTGTTGGCTTCGAATATCCTCATCTCTCATCTTGTCTTGCCACTTAATATAGAGCAGCTGGTGGAGATGATGAGAATCAAAAATGTCAATCCCACATTCTTCAGCCTTCCTCAGTGCCCATGTTTCACTTCCATATAACACAGCTGGTATAACTGTGGCTCGATAGATCTGCACCTTCATAGCAAGCTTGATGTCACAACACACACACCCCCACAGAGGCAGCTGAAGGACATGAAACATGGCGGCAGCTACTGCTATACAAGCATCCACATCTTTTGAACTTCCTCCATCACTGCCTGATACTTACCAAGTATTTGACATTCCTGATGTCCCATCTGGATGGGTTAATATTGAGCTGGTTATAATCTGGATCTGGAGGCTGCTTGATGTTAATGGCAAGGGACTCAGATTTATCCAGATTAAAAACCAGACCAATGTGCATTGCTTTTTGCCTGACCAGATCTGCTATCGGCTGCAGCTATTCCAACTGAGCCAACAATACAATGTCATTACCATATTGGAGATCTCAATGCAGAATGGCGGTCAGCCCATCACCACTGGCACCAGCCTTCTGAAGCTTATCCACCAACCTATCAATGCCTATATTGAATAACAATGGTGGTGGAACACAGCCTCGCCGAACTCCTGTGGAGATAGGAAACTCCCAGTGACTAAATGCAGCTTACAGTTCCACTGTTAGAACTCTTCTGTCAATGATTCTATCTTCTCAGGGGTAGCGTGTCACCTCATCTGATCCCACAAACTTGCTCAATGCCCTGAACCAAAACCTGATGGAAGTCTGTAAAAAGTGCAGCTCATGGCTTATTAAATGCAGCCATCTTCTCAAAAAGCTCTCAAGATAAGATCTGGTTGACAGTGGAAGGACAAGGTCTATAGCCGTACTGAGTATCCCAGCCTTTGCCGCAGAGTGCATCACTGATTCAAGACATTAACAGGGAGGCAAAAAACTTGCCTGGGACTGACTTTAGTGGCTACATCCAGCCTTATCACCCCTTTTTTGAACACAAGCAGATTAGACCTCTTCTAGTCATCAGGAATATTAGTCTGCCCTATGGTCTGGAGGAACCTTTGCAGCCACAGTACAACAATACCCTCTCCTGTCTTTTACAACTCAGGGATGAGGTTACAAACCTCTGGTGTCTTTCCAAACTTGACTTTATGGACTGTGATGCGGATCTCTCAGCTGAAGGAAGGCAGCTCTACTATAACATCTTGCCCCTCTTCAAATGGAGAAGGGACTACAGGGGGGTGGACAACCAAAGATCACCTTGAAATGAACTTCCCATCATTGGAACTGATCCAGCAGACTCTGGCTGATGCTGCCACCTCAATATTTAACTTGACAAGTTGGGGTGATGTTCCCTAATAGACACTGTGAAGTTGAACAGAGGGTGCGGAGACTGTGCCTTTCTGCAACCTGTTCCAAATTAGCTGCCTGAGATGACCACCGGGATTCCTCATCTTTCTTATACAGTAACTTGACAATGTCCCAAAGTCTGTCCCATTCAGCCTTTGTTTTTGTTCTTGACAAACATATTTCTGGAGACTCAGATTGTAGCCTCTCTTTTTTTCTAGCTTTGACTGCAGTGAGCATCTCCTCGCTGATCCCTGGATGGCATTTGAAGGGCAGGGAATCCAGCACTGAGTTGACATCAGGCAGCACTAATGACTTGAAACAACACTATTCCTCATCAGATGGGGGAGGGAGGGATACTTCGGTCTCTAATGCTTTGATGGCCTTACACAGTTCAGAACAGAGAGCTGCCTGATAACTCAGCTGTAACAAACATTTTTGGTTTAATCTGACCCATTTGGGCCCATTAACTGGCAGCATTCAAAGTCGGAGGCAGCAAAAGCTGATGATAGGTATTAAGTTCAGCACCTCTGCAAACTTGTACATCCATGACTGTTGACTGCCAGTGACTATTAAGGAGGACATGATCAATAATAGTGCTAGTGAAACCATCTGGGCTGTACTAGGCCTGTTTGTGAATCTTTGCGTGATGGAACAGCAAGTGAGTCATCACTATGTCATTGGCAGCCACAAATTCCAGCAGTTGCTGCCTGTCCTGTTCTTCTGCCCAACACTGAGCTTCCCAAGCATACTTGCCCAGGTGTCATTATTCTTTCCTACTTGTGCACTGAAGTCTCCCAAGATCACTCTGCTACTGAAGGGAAAATGACCAGCAAAATCTTGCTAAAGGACCATTTTGGTATCTTGCGCGTTGGTGGCAAATGTAAAATTGGTGCCTGGAACATTCAAACATTGTATGACAGTTCTAAAGCCATCCTCATCAAGCAGTTGAAAAATCTGACCATCAATATCTACACTATCTAAAGTATGCTGGCCAAGAAATGGTAAAATATAGAGATGGGGGTTATACATTTTTGTTCTAAGGCTGCCCTGACAGGTTGCATCAGAAAGGGGTGACTATTGTACTTTCACCCAATGTCTGACTGGCCTAGAAGTACTGGAGGGTGATTAGGATGACTTATCAGCATCTGATTACTTACTAGCTGTGGGTATCTTACCATCATCACAGTGTATAGTCCCACCACACTAAGGCCAACCATGCAGCTGCACATAATTTTTACCAGCAGCTGCAGCCACTCCTTAATGAACGCTTATGTAACTCCTTACCAAACACAAAAAGACAAGAACCCCCTCTCCAAAGATTAAGAGACAATGCCTTCTTTGATGACTCTTCAAGTTTAAAGATGCTAAGAATATTTTAAGTTTAAAAAAAAACTATCTTGAAACATGAAAGACCTTTATATAGGAAATAAGAGAGTTGGACTCATTTGAAATAGAATTTCAGCTCCTATTAAGACCTGATGAAACTAAAGATATCACAGAAAAAGGACTGAATGAAATAAAGTTAAAACTACAACTTTTAAAGACATTCTGGGATTTTCTGCCATTAAGGCAATGGCAATTAGAACCCTGCTGCATATGCATTAGCAGATTGCTTATTCATGAGCTGAAGACACTAACAAGACCAGCCCACAAGCATATTGAGCCAGATGGTGACAGTGGCTGAAAGAAGTACATTTTCCTCCTCCTGTGAAATTATGGAAGAAGCATGTAAATGTCTCTGAATTCAGAAAGCGAGCTGCAACACTCTGCTCCTATCATCACAGCACTTATTCTCAGCAGTAAACTCAGCTCAAACTGTTCATTTCATCACTACAAACAAGCAAACAGCAACAAGGCAGCAAGAAGAACAAAGCAGCGGCAACCTTCCAGGCCAGCACTGCCTCTGCAACATGACGTGACTAAGACTTCAGTTTCATGGGTGAGATGGACTCTGCAGAAGTACTGCCAAGGAATTAGATTTAAGATTTTCTTGTAATGATTTTACTGGGAAATTGGAATGCTACTGTAACTTAAGATACTAACAGCTTCTTCTGTTAAACACCCAATTGTTTAGACTGTGCATTCCTTAAGAGGAGTATAAAACGGCTGACCTTTCTCCCCACCCAGAAAGGTTTGGCACCATGCCAGAGTGTTCTTCGGGCCCCTTTTTCTTAGGGCTACAACTGTATTTCTTCTACATAAAACTATTTCAAAACATCAGTCATTCCTTCACCCTAATCTGGGGTCTTCTGCAGGGATCTATCTATTCCCTATGGGTTTCCACTGTACAGGCCACTTGCCTGAGAATCATATGCTGTTCCCAGACCTACTACAGGGACCACACCTGCACCACAGTCTCCTGCTGGAGCCTTCCAGTTCTCTGCAGCTCTCCCTCTAACTGGCCTACTGCTGACTTTTATAATCACCTGATCCCTAGCTGATCCGTTTCAGCTGGAAGGTGAGGCTGGGCCCAACTTCCATTAAAGAGCCAGCCATCCTGTGACATAGAGACTTATGCTCATCTTGGTAAACAGAAATAGTGCGATTTAATTTGAATTTAAGATTTTTAATATTCATTCATTTGCCTGTCTCCGGATGGCTCCTTGGGATGGTTTCTTTTAAGTCACTGAGTCAAAAACTCTTCAGTTTCTTAAGACGTAGCTACATCTACACTATGAGCTGGGGGGTGAGTCTCCTGCTCATGGACACATACCCCACTAGCTCTCATTGAGCTAGCGTCAGTATAAACAGCATTGTAGCTACAGAAGAGGCATGGCTGAGCCCTGCTGAGTACATACCCATCGGTTTCAGGGGGGTTTATATTCAACATAGCTCAGCCATGCCTCCACTCCCTCTACCAGTGCTACCTTGGCTACATTGCTATTTATACTCATGCTAGCTTTAGGAGAGCTAGTGTGAGTATGTGTATGTGAGCAAGGAAAATCATGCCCCTAGCAGGCAGGGTAGATGTAACCTTAGTAAAGATGACGTATCTCTGCCCATTCATGAACTGCCCAACTATAACCCGTTTTAGTAATCTATGATACACCGAGACTGTACTCACTACTGAGTTGGGGAATAATGTACTTCACTTTTAGTTTACCTGGAGGAGAGCATTCCCACCAGGGTAGACCCATTCTCAGAAGGTGTAACCTCTGTTGATATCTCTCTACCGAGAAATTTGCAGAAGAGATTGTATCTGAAGTACCCATTGTTTATTTTTTCTGTTCTATTTGTTTTGTTGCATTGTTATTTTTCCCTTGAATCATAAAATAATCAGTTAATTGTGATTATTTGTCTTTAATCATGGTGTCCCCTAGAGCATTAAAAACAACAACAACCCTGTGATTAAATAATGGGAGTGTCATCCCCAAACTGGCATTTATAAAGACAGTTATAAGATCTGGCCTACCATCTCTTGTTTCACAAAAGTACAATTTTTTAGTAATTTTGGGAATAAAAGTACTTGGTTCTCAACCACTTGAAACACCCTTTTCTACCCCACAATACCAGAACTTGGGAGGATGGGCATTTTCCCTTTGATATGCGCTTGTGATTAGTTTTGCTCTGAGCAAGAATCTCAAAGTCTACGATCTTTAAGCTTCAAACACACCTCAGAAATAAGTATTATATCCATTTACAGACAAGTAAGCTGAGAAAGAGAAGTGTTAAGTGATTTGCCCTGTGTCACAACCAACCAGTAAAAAGCTCATGTTAAGGAAACAGGACTTTAGTCTCCTTGTCCTCTGATCTATCCTTTGGAAAACTCAGCCTCTCTGAAGCACAACAGTCAGAGCCCGTGGAATTATTTATCTTAGCCAAAGATTCTCATTTATGCAAGCTTATGTTCTGTTTTAAACTCAGCCTGTTTGGCAAAAGTATCTGATGATTTTCTGTTTCACAAGTTTTATTACACACTGTAAAATAGTTCCCTTTACCCACTGTCTGAATAGCTTGTCTTTAGTGCACTGAATGCCCTCTTGTTTGTGTATTATGGGAGCGCCCAATTGACCTTTATACTCTCATATGCATGTATCAAATATAACTAGGTGAGCATAGCTAGGTATTTAAATTGGTAAAGAAACTGTACTTCTCATGCACAGTGTAGTATTTTAGATGGATAGTCAGGAAGTTTTGACAAATCACAGCTGAGAAAAGAAGCTGAGGAATAGTTACAGCATTGGACCCAACTTCGACCTGGCTATTCATTTGGATTTCTGCTACTCAGCAAAGTTCTTATTGATGACTGCACAGATGACAAGTGTGAGTTATCTGACAGGAAGTGAAACATCTGAAAATGTCCGCTGGAGAAAAATATTCTTTCCGTGCTCAGGTGTTTTATTTTTTAACTGCCTTTCCACAGCAATTCACTTCTGGGCTGAGAACAAGGATGACAAACGTCAGCCTCCAAAGAGTTACTTTATAGGTCATTGAAACTAGCATTCATGAATTTAAGCAACAGTACTATAGATTCGCTAGCATGTTACTATCCAATATTTATTTTCACTCAATAAACTTATTCTTCCTGTATGGAATTTATTCATTTTCAAAAGGGTTTGATTATACTGATGTACTGTGTTTATACTCTGCACACAACCAGGTTCTCCTACTCCTTTTGTCATGCTGGGAAAATACCATGCATCAAAAGATGCATTATTACCTGTTTGTTAATGGCAGCTTCTAGTTCTGGATAGCCTGCTTTGTCAAGCTGTATACTTGGAAACAGGTCTTCAATCAGACTCAAGAACAAGGGTTCATCTTCATCAATCTAACAAAAATTAGAAAACCATGAGGAAAATAAGACAAATGCAATCTAGCATAACCAATGGTGCTTTAAGGTCAAACTCTGCACTATACCATGGGCCTAGAAATCACTGAAAACACAGAAGTAATCCAATTAGATTTCCAGGTGTCTGGGATGATGCAGAGAAAAGAATCCAGATATACCGGAGACGGAAGAAGTAAAATTGCAAGTAGGCCTAATGGCCATAAGTTACTGCTATCAGATAACCAAAACATGCCCAGTGATTTTAGTCATATATAAAAGTACAGATTGTAGTGATATTATAAATGAGTAATAGGCCTTCACTAGAATCTGGATAGACACAGGGAAGCAGACAATTAACACAAGGGTGCAAGTCTGTGGCATGGTAATTGTAATACAGTTTTGTCAGTGACAGAGTAAGGAAGTGATGGAGAGAAATTAGAAGGAAATCAAAATTATTCAGTTTTGAACACTTTGCTTTTGAAATAGTGGTTGGACCTCCAGATGGCACCATACCCAGCTTGAGATAAGAACTGGTCAGAAGACTACAACTCAAGTGTGGAGAAGCATAGCTGGGAATCACTTCCTAGAAGCAGTAGTTGAAACCATGGGAATGAGGAGGTTGCCTACAAAGACAGAAGAGCCAAGACAAAACCTGAATCATGCCAACAAGAAGATGGAGCATTTCTGAACCACTGTTCAGAACGGTATCTGAACAACCAGATCACACAGAGCCACATCCAATCTTAAAGCAGCGGCCCTCTTGACTGTCAGTTTATACATTGGTTTATCAAATAAGAAAATTAGATGTTTGACTCAAAGACAATTACACAACATTTAGATCTGCATGACTTACCAATTTAGAAAGGTTCATATCTCTCAGAACACGCATGACAATAGTAGATTCTGTATCAGCGGGGTTTGCTCTTTTTGCTGCCCCCAGCGTGCGCAGCACTGACAATATATTCCTCAAACCAAAGTCATAATGCACCTAAGAGGTGTGATAAGTTTGAAAAATTAAACAATCCACCTTTCTTAACATATTGATTTAGCAGTTTATTTTCTCCATGCAGGAAAAAGATTCATAGCAAATGTAACAAAGCTGGGGGCACCTCTACTGTATAAGTCCACCTGACTTCCAGTATACAGATTGCCTTTTGATTGCATGGCCTTGCACAAGTTACCTCACCTCTGTGTTGCAGTTTGCCCATCTGTTAAATGGGGATTATGATATTTACCCACCTCTGTAAAGCACAGATCTATGAATGAGAAGCTCAATTTCAGTGCCAAATTTTATCATCAAATAATCTCCAAAAAAGCTGTTTTTCTTGCTCTCAGAGCATGAGTGCCATGTAGAAGGGTTAAGGTTCATGGCAGTAGCAAACTAAGTTTAACAGCAATAGATACTTGATCAGAACCTGAAATACTGTAGCAGTAATAGTATTCATAGGACACCTCAGTGGAGGGGTAAAGTCATGTTTTTTCTTTGTCTTGCTCTTTTATATTAAAGTACACTTTCACTTAATGGTAATGAAGGCCAAGATTCCTGTTTAGTTTGACCATTTTGAAATTAAGAGTAGCAGTATTTATATTAGTTTACACCACTGTTGTGGGCTAGGCGACCAGTCCATTTAGGTACAAAAAAGGTCACTCTCCCATTACCCATATTTGATTTATGAACATAAATTAAAAGATATCCACCTCATGTACACATGCTAGTAAACAAACAATCTGGTTTGTTCAGGATGCAAGTCAGGGCAGAATTTGACTCAGTATTTAAAAACTCGTTCATGGCAAAGATGTACAGTATGAACCACAATGAGTAAATTAAGTGTTTTTTCTCCATGATTTAGGTGGCAGAAGTTCCTCCATGAGGATGCCATGAGGTCTTTGGTCAAGGCCAGCTACCAAAACCCTTCCAGTGTTCTGGGAGGAAGGGAGACTATATAGAATCCCCTTCACAGTTCATCTACAGAAGTGCTTTAAGGTAGAATCCATGAGGTCTGAGGATGGACCCTTACTTCACACAAGTTTGCTATCTCCATGGAGAGGAGGCCAGTGTTTTCTGGGATCCCCATGGAGTACGAAATCAATGAGGTGGAATTTGAAGGATAGAAGCATGAGTGCCTTGAACACTTTTGCAGGATGTGCTTTTGTTTGTTATGGGGCCTTTTGGGGGAAAGCAGGGACTGATTGAGTTTACTTTTATTTTTAAGAAGGCATCCTTCGATACATGGTGGGCACTGTGACAGACGTCACTTCTTAAAAGAAGAATTCCTGAACATACATTACTAAACTAGGAAGCATAAAATAAACTAGATCCTTGAACTATTGCTTTACAGAGCAAGCATTTGCGAACATATAAACTCCTGTTAGTATTAATCTGCCTCTGCTCATTAGAGCCACATTTGCATCGTAAATGGGGTATGGCTCAGTCTCACCTCTTTGCACAGAAAGCAGTAAACCCAGAATAGAAGGTAAACCTCATGGAAAACAGAGAGCACCAACACCAGGTGACAATTCCTGTTTGGGTTTTGTTTGTGTTGATGAACACCAATTAGCCCCCACTTCTCTGCTCTAACTCTCCAGTCTTAAATATTAGATTAAAAGTCTTTCGAAAGGTGGTTTTCTGAAAGCTTCACCTGCTTAGATAGCTGCTCCTCACACAGCTTGTACAGAGTGAAGAATTTCCTTGCCAGTACAATGTTATCTATGAATCCACAGCTAGCCAGTTTGACACGAATTATTATCTGACGATCAGGAACCATCATGGCCACTGAACGGAAGTTTATCTTCAAGTTTTCAGGCAACTCTTGTCGCCCAGCATATCCTGGGTTCTGATTATGAGGAAAGAGTTTGTAGTTGACTTCACTGAATGTAACAAGATAAATAAGCAAAGATACTTCTACAGAAGTTAGAACAAAAGATTAACTATTATTATTAAAGTATTTGTTACAAACTCTACACAGGATTTTTGATATACTATCAGAGTTTGGCTTTAATACATGTTTGCACTCTGAAGTACCCACAGACATGACTGAAAATGCACATATGGAGTCATGTCTGATTACTGACTACTTTGTCTTAGTACTTCTTATTCCCTTTAGCCTTGCATAGCTAACACAGCTAAACAGGTAAGAGCTGGATTTTATTTGTTCTTGTGCACCAGAATTATTTACCCAGTTTTAATCAGCTACACTTGTGCCAACCTGTTCAAGGTAATCTTATTACACAGGTATCAGAGGGTATAATTTGGCAGGCAACACACAGATTATAGGTCACAAGAATAAATATCACTAGTTGACTTTCAAATCTCAGGTTGAGTCTGAATGGGTACAAACTAGTACAAATAGGTTTACCAGTGAATTGTGCACATTTGATCTGGAATCATTGAGATTCAACCCTGTAAATCAGTTTTCTAACAAGGATTACTTCTCAAGTTGGAAATTAGTTTTAGGAGACTAGTTACTTCAGCACCAGGGGGTTAGTAAGTACAGTAAACGTACCAAATTGTAAGCAGTGAGTAAGTAAGTAATTTTAAGTGTGGTATTATCACTGAAGTCTCACACCCCCTCAGAATACCTACCATAGTAAGAAATATTCCAAATTCAGGGTTCATTTCCACATTATCTCCATCAGTAAATATAAAGTTCTTTTTACGCTCCTTCTTACATGTCAACACAATTGCAATTTGCTGTGCAGCTACTGATAATACAGGTAAGTCGATACGGTTAAATTCATCAAAGCAGCCCCAGGAGCCAGACTGAGCAAGACCTTGAACAGAAAGAAACCTCTGAACAGTCTAATGGAAAGCTCATATCAGAGGATTAAGAAACAGCAAAGTTGTCTTGACTTGGAAAGAAGATGAAAATCAACCCAACTTCGAAACCAGTTTTCCAAAATTAACCAAGGAGAAAACTAGGTAAGGTGCAAATAACAGAACAGCTTGTAAAAAGATACTTAGAGGTCTTAATTTGGTTGCTAATTTTACACCTACCATCGCCCACTGGGACAACCAATTGCTGGCACAAAAGAAATAACCTAGACTTTCTCCCAACATTAATGAACTGTACACAGTGTTTGACAACATTAGCCTTGCCCTTACAGAGCCTTTTGTACTTGATCAGCTTCTTTGAAGTGATATTGTTTGTGAAGAATTTAAAACAAAGATTTTATACAACATGGCAAGTCAGATTGCATCCTGTTTTCATACCAATTTCACAACCAATTCAACAGCCTTTGACTTTAGTATTTACAAACTGTTTAACCTAAAAACGTTTGTTTATTTTTCAAAGAGGCTAAGTTAGTATTAAAGGAATATGGATATTTTGTTTTGTTTTCACATCTCATGTAGTCAGTGTTATAAAACGGAATGACATTTGTTTTTGGAAGAATAAAAATCAAATTTCCTTTTAGAAAAGTCACCACAAAACCTAGTCAGAAAGGTTTCTGTTGAGCCATATCCTTTTAATAAGAAAAAATACTACTAGTAATACAGGGACCTTTCTGTTGTCTTTGAAGCTGGTCTACATGAGAAACACTGTTATTGTAAAATACTGACCACTAATGTAAACGGTAGGCCATAACTGGTAAGTATGTACTAGATCTTGTTTTACAAAGGAGTGTCTCAATTTGGGACTTCTAGGCATGGGAATTCTCACCTTTGAAGATTCTTCCTAGTCCTCTGAAATCCATCTGGTCTGAACAGTTGAAGACTACTACATATTTACCAAGGCATCTTCCCATGTCTTTAGTAGTTTCGGTTTTGCCTGTCCCTGCAGGTCCAGCAGGTGCTCCACCCATGTTCATTCCCAGGGCCTGAGCTAAAGTGATGTAACATCTACACGGAAACAGACTGTTATTAGGTATTTGCATTGTTCAGGTACCCACATCTGCTTGATGGCCTAACTGAAAAATGCATCAGTGTGATTTGAGGCCCAGTTTGGGCACAAGGAAAGCCCTCAATTAACAAGCTTCATTAGCATTTCTGCTGTGGGAGAGATATCCTCCAATTTATTTGAGGAGAAATGCTCCACATCAGCAGCCTTTGGTGCTTTTTACTGGCCACTTCAGAGCCACCTTATCATCTCAGCCTGTGCACAGTAGGGGGAGAAGATTGAGGGGGATGTCAGTTGGTAAGTGGAAGCTCATGAGGAAGGAATATACAACAGCTCCAGAACACCAGCTTCAATAATTTTACCTTGCCCAATTGCTCCAATTACTTTAGCTGAAGTGACTCACAAATTAGGTAATATGTACGGTGAAGCAAAATCCTGTATTCACCTCTAGGACAGTGAGATGTATTATATCTTTTCCATCTTTCACTCTTATGAGTCTATGACAGGGGAGGGCAAACCATGGCCCACGGGCCGGATCCAGCCCATCAGGGATTGCCAGCCCCGTGGCACTCCCGGCAGCAGCCAGCACCACGTCCCTGCAGCTCCTGGGGGATGTGGGGAGGCAGAGGGCTCCATGCGCTGTCCTCGCCTGCAGGCAACTCCCCCTTCAGCTCCCATTGGCCAGGAATGGGGAACCGCGGCCAATGGGAGCTTTGGGGGTGATACCCACAGGGAGGGCAGCGCACGGCAGAGCTGCCTGCTCCACCCCACCCCCAGTAGCCACTGCTGGACATGCTGGCCACTTCCGGGAGTGGTGCAGAGCCAGGGCAGGCAGGGACTCTGCCTTAGCCCCACTGCGCGCCGCTGCCACCCCGGAGCCGCTTGAGGTAAGCGGTGCCGGACCAGAGCCTGCACCTCGAAGCCCTCCTGCACCCCACCCCCCTGCACCCCAACCCCCTGCCTTGAGCCCCCTGACGCACCCCTCCTGTCCCCCAACCCCCTGCCCTGAGCCCCCTCCTGCACCCCAAACCCTTACCCTGAGTTCCTTCCTGCACACCGCACCCCCTCTCACACCATGCACTCCCTCCTGCACCCTTGCCCCAGCCCTACATTCATGGCCCTGCATACAATTTCCCTATGCAGATGTCGCCCTTGGGCCAAAAAGTTTGCCCACCCCTGGTCTATGGTGTGACCTGATGCAAATTCCGATTCAGTGAAATTGGCCCAATAACAAGGTCAGATGAAGAACTTACAGATGCTTGAGACAGCAAAAAATAGAGAAGTTCATGTTGGTTATTTTGGGTTCATCAAGGATTCATCCTGTCATCACAGTCATGCAGGTGGACCCCTACTTCCAAGCAGATCCACACTGACTTCAGCTCTCAGATTTTATTGCACAATAGGAACTTAAGTTTGTGGCTAAATCTGATCAGCATTCATGGGCATTTTCATGTGGAATTTAACTCAATTATTTATTCTCTTTTTTTTTTCAAACTAGACTACTTGTGTTACCTTTCCTCTAAATAACGTAGCTGTTTTATGTCACATAAAGACTAACACAGCATACAGAAGTAATCCTGAATTTCTGAACATTATTACATACTGTAAAGGAAAAGAACAAAAATTATGCCTTGATTTCCAGGTCATGCAAACCCAGTGAATGCAAGACTGAACAGGACATAAATCAGAACAAAATTTGGCCCCAAATAAGCAAAACTTTGAGACAATCCTTGTGGTGAGAAGCCAAAAACTATGAAAGTTTGGGTAAGTAATCGAGCTTTGTTACCGGTCAGTGAGAGGAGTTATGACAAGCCTGTCAGTACAGCCTAAGAATTCATTCTGGTATGTAAAACCCACATCAGTGATGTTAATCATCATCTTGTCGGAATCTTCTTTGAAGTAAAATCTACATTGTTTCAACCACTCAAAGTCTGTAGGGCTCTTGACGTGCATACGGCACTAGGAAAATAAAAAAAAATCCTTAACAGAGCTAACTGATTAAAATAGGCATTTTGCATTTATATAGCACATTATGTTAGCAGATCTCCAAGAGCCAGATTAGAGCACCACTGGAAATTCAGTCAACTCAGCAGTGACCTGCAGCAGCTAGCAACATTACACACACTTGCTGTGTAATGGGAGCAGAATTTTGGGCCAAAGTTTTTTGGAGGGGCACCATGGAATCTAGTGACCTCAGACTATGATATTTTCCAAAAGTCCTAAACACAGCTAAAGAGCATGGAATTCTGTCTTGGAAAGATGGAGGGCTCATTCAGTCCAGCTACCATTTGATTATATGATTTTTAGGAGTCTAAGAACCTGATTCTCTACTGCCTTCCACCTTGGAGGCTCACACCTGTGCAAAGAGCATGTAAAATGCCACCAGATCAGAAAGAGGGAGGGAGTAGAGAAGAATTTCAAGGAATGAGGTAGGACTTAGAACAAGAGCTTTTTTGCATGTGGATGCTACAGTGTTTAGATACAGTAAAAACGGTGACAGAGAAGTGGTTAAAAAAGGAAAGCTCTCCTGTAAAGATGAGACTTTTGGGGGATTCTCTCCCAAATTATCCCTTATCTAAAATGTACTTATTTTTATTCCTAAATAGGAAAGGTTGGTGGAAGTAGAGAAAGGTGGGTTTTGACTGGCTAAAGGGGAGAGGAAAGGGTAGCCACATCCTTCTTTCTCAAGATCCCCCAAAGCAATGGAGTAATATAAGCTCCCGCAGGTTTCTTTAGACTTTGAAACTCTGAGCACCCCTTGGGTGGTAATTTATGTACAGTTAGTAAGTTCTCATATGACCTCCTGAAGCTTTGAAAAAAAATCTCCAGGTTTCTTTCCAGAACAAGCAGTTTTGTTTTCCTTTTACAATATCTGTCTCATTCTGGAGTACCATGGATGCAGCAGATGAGAGGTGCAATTTATTAATCTTACAACCAACATAAGCCAATATTTCTACAGAACTATTATCTATATTGTAGAGATATGCATTCATCTCAGAATTGCAAGGGGGAAAACTATTGTAACTGAGTTACTGTGTTGGCTGGATCTGTGTGTGTGGCACATCCACAGACAATCCCTAAAGGGTGTGCTTCCTCCCTAAGGGGAAGTAACCCTGAAAGAAAGGTCAGAGGATGAGGTGTTTCCTGCCTGTGGAAAAGTGGAAGGGTTTTGTGAGAGCAAGCATCAGGAGGGGAATTGCCTTTGTTCTCTTCATGTTCTGTTGTTACTTAGCTTGTGCCTGTGTCATCATTCCACTGCCTGCTTGTGCTACCCCATCCCCACCAAGAAAGGGAGCACAACGTCACACAACGATATTTGGCCTAGAAGCACCACGTAGTAAAAAAAATGCTTCATTTATTATAAAGTCAGTGGATACTTTTTGGCCTGAGCTGTAATTTATACTAAGCCCTCCCCCACCATCTCATCCCATTAGGCTGCTCTGCCCGTGTGAAGTGACTACGTGGATGTAAGTGTGTTAGTCAATGAGATTTCGGCCCTTTGTTTTAGGTTTAGTGTTGTGAATTTGACATCATCAGTTTCCATCTTCTTCCCATCCTTTATGAAGTTTTATGCTAGCTCCATTCAGTTTATTCTTGGAACCTCAGTTGATAATCCACAGAATTGCACTCAGAAATGTATTGAACACTTGCAGAATTTATATAGCATTTGGTAAAAAATTGTCCCAGGGTTGACCATTCACCACAGGCATTGATCTTGAATTGACACACACCTGGAGTTGTATCTTGGTCTCTTTCCATCAATGCAAATTAGCTGTGTTTAATCTTGTCTCAACCCTGACATTTTATCAGTGGAAATGAACTCTTAAACCCTCACGTCAGCAATTGTAAAAGCAAGGCCTATTTTTCTAACAAGACCAAGTAGTAGAAGCCATCTTTGTCTGCCAATATTTTTTCTTACAGTCCTGAAGTCTAGTAGCCTGATTCGTTTTTTATAGTTTCCAAATTATTTTACTGCCTGTGAAGTAACAAAACCCTTAATTTATCCATGGATCAACTATAACCTGGGCTGCAGTAGTGCAAGCTTCCTCACAGTATCCCAACACCAAACATCACAGGAATGAAATGGAAAATCAACCACTAGATGTAGGCGTGCATATCATTTTAATGTTTGAAAGGGCATATTCAGCAGCCATAGAGCCATGTTTAAATATAATACTGTGACAGCACACAAAAGGCTACACTGAACGCTTACCAGATCATCAAAGATGTCCCTCTGGTGCACGTGGATAGTGATTAGTGTCTCATATTTAATTCGCTCCACTGGACTGAGGTCTTTGGTTGTCATGTCTATCAGAGTGTTCAGCAGGTCTAAGAAAGATTGGTTTGTCTTCTGCATTATTTTTTTATCATATCTGGCATTAGTCAATGCCTCTTCTGAGTCTCTTGTCCAAATCATTTGGATCCCCAATAACCCAACCTTGTGAAAAAACAAACAGTATGCTCTGTGACGTTTTTTCAGTTAGCATACATAAATATGCTTTTCTATTAATACTTAATAAATTACTCAATGAAATTAAATACTTAACAATTTATTAAAAGGTGTAACTCATGCCTTCATCAGAGAAGTAAAACTAATGTGAGTTTATATCCCAAGTCTAGATCTATTTGGTGTACAAATGTGATGCCTTTTGAAAAATCAACAGGAGCGGCACACATCTGAGGATGACATATTTTTTTAATCAAGGTTCACTCAAACATATTTTCTCCTAATCCCACTAATATATTTGCACTGTTATAGTGCTGTTTATTAGTAGATCTCAAAAGGCTTTACAAATCATTTTATTAGCTTTATTTATTAGCTCTTCACCCATTTTAATAAGCTTACCTGGGCTGGGAAAGAAGAAAGAAATTCAATCAACTGGAATCCAGTTTCCTGGATATCCATGGCTGCCTGGCGAATGACAATATGTAATGAGGACTGGGATTCCTTTAAGAGAGAATTGAGCCAGACTTCCACATTACCCTCAGCCATTACAGGTTTATCCAATTCAATTGTCTCACCCTCTCGAGAACAAATTGACAGAATGCGATCATATATCTAATTGAAACCAAAAAATACATTGTAATATACAGAACATTATTGCTATGAGCTTGTCATTTCTCCAACATCTCCACAACACAATTAACTATTTTTAATCCTGGTAATTTATTGAACAGGTCAGGTTGTACCTGCCAAAAGAAAATAGCCACAGTAACAAATTAATAACTACTGATCCTGGTAGGGCTTATTCAGAACCAGGGTTTCCTTTAACAGTGTTTTAGCAGTAACTGAAGCAAACTTTCAAATGAATAACAGGCTGTAAGATGATCTCACTTGTTAAGTTTTACTTCTATTTTCATGTTAGTGCCTAGAGACCCCAATGATCTAGGCACTATACAGATGCACTCACTACGCTTAAAGTCTTAAACTGAAAAACAGACCAAGAGTGGGATGCTGAGGAACTGAGTGATTAAGGAACTTGTCCAAAGTCACACAGACAATCACTTGCAGAGTCAGAAGCCAAATCAGTGTCTGAGTATTAATTCAATGCCTTAACTTCAAGATTATACTTAATCTACAAGAGGGATTTTTTTAAAGCTCCTGAGGTCTTCAGTACACAAAGCAATAGGATTTGTGCTTGTGAAATCTGTAGTCATTTTTGTAAGTCTCCCCACCAAAAACCTAAAGGCTCAGTTTCTCACTGTTTCCCTACCCCCAATAGATTTGCTAAGGGTGAAATCAGAATGCAAAAAGACTTCTTACATTGTACACCCCCACAGGTGGACATACTTGCAGTCCCAGTATTCCCATAACTACCAGGGCTGCTCTAGGAACATGCCAATACCAGTACAAACCTCCCCAGAATGTAACTAGTGAACTCGTGATACTATTTACCTTGAGTGGAAAAGTGTGCTTTGTTTGGAATAGGGAGGAGATGGGAAATAACCTAAAATCCCAGTAGTTAACTGTCACAGATATTAAACACTTGGCCTTTACAGGTCTGTCTTCATAAAAAATACAAGACAGCCATTCTTGTTTTGCCTGTTTTCTAACTCTAACACCTGGGCTTCAAAGGTCAACTGGAAAGTGATTGGTTTTAAGTTTTGCAAGTGATATTGTGGGTGGGGATAACCTAGATAGGGAGAAAATTATTTCTAACCAAAAAAATGATATACACACACAGGGCACATACTTGTGGCAATCTAGTTCTATTTCATTGGAAACACAGGGGAAATTTTATAATAGAACATAAGTTTCTCTTTTGCATGACAGATGTGTGTTTTCAAAAGTCTAATCTCCTGTGAAGAAAGTGTCAGTGTTTAAAACCGCTAACATGATGTCATGTTCCTAAGCCAAAATATAGGTGCAAGTTTCTGAACTACCATCCTCTCTACACACAATTAATTTGTTATGTGAGCTAAGATTCGGAACCCAAGTCCCCTGAGGAAAAAGTCTAATCAGCACTAGGGCACTCAAGATTCTTTGTGGATCTGGTGCATGGACCATTTACCCGTATAACTTTGCATTTAACAAACACTGTGCATTGCTTGTCAATTTGCAAGACAAGTGTGGCAAGATTAGAGCAGTGCCCACCTTTTCATGGAACCTGACAGTTTTAATGTTGTCAAAGACATTCAGCAGGTGAGCCTGTATAGTGTGAGAGTCTGATGCCTGGCCAAGTATCTCCAAGAGAGCAGGGTCCGACACAAAGAAGAACCGAGGAAAGGAAAGTCGTTTTTTCTCAAGGTACCTGAGTTTAAAAGAAACAAGCCTCATGGTGGTAATTTATTCAGCACTGCCTTCATAAGGTGAGCTTCATCTTATCCCTTTGGTGATGAGAGACCAAAGTTTTCTCAACACAACACATTAATACAGTTTTCATTAGTGGTAATAATAGCAGTTCAGACCAACTGTGCCCCGATGGGTTAAGATTCTGCTTTGATGTTACCATTTGGAATTACAGATTATCTCATTGCACAAAGCCAGTGGAGGTTACAGATCACTCAGAATAGTAATTAAAATTTAAGAGTGCAGTTCTACCTTGTTGAAGTTGGATGCATTTGTTGAAAGTGTTGCTAATGAACTCCATGTCAGGCTTCCTTTACTTCAAAATTAAGTTATGGACTAACTTGCACCCTCTCCTTACATGGATGCACAGAAAATAAGCCTGCACCCCTGGGCCCAATGCAAGAGAAAAGCACTGAAGGAATCATTCTGTTGTCTAGTCCTGTGGTTGTGCTACTTATCACCATTTTCTTGGAGTTGTACCCTATTAACAGTCTTACCCTGTAAGTGACTTCTGACAGATTTCGAGCTGTTCTAACAAGTGTGGCAGAAGCTGCCCCATGGTTTCATCTCCAACACAGCATTGGACCACATTTGGCATCTCATGGGCCCGCGTCAAGATCTTCACCCATGATTTATCTATGTTAGAGAAACGCTTGGCTTCCTATGGGGAAAGGAGGGGAAAGCAGGTCATCTACATAACTGAGATCTTCAATTCAGATAGAATGAATTCTGAATTCATGAATGCTGCTAAAACTAATCTCCAGACCACTCAGATTTTGTCAACTATCCCCACAGAATGTCAACTTTGGTAGGTGTAATACAGGCTAGGTATTCTCTGTCAAAGCTTTTACAGTTAGTTTTCAAGGCTCTGGCACTGAACCCAACATTTCCCTTCCCTCCTCACGGAAGGAAGCAGGACTGCTCAGTTGCCAGCATTTAGATCCATCATGTTTAACAGAGTACCCCAAATGTATATTACTTTCCAAAAAGTAATGTTAATTTTAAAATTAAAGAAACTAGGAGAAATGTCAGAAGAGTACGACTCCCACCAGAACTGTATGCCCTTTTTAGTTTGAAAGATGAGTGGACACCTGTAACAAATATTAGTAACTAAGTAACAGTCTAGACATGAAAAAGCCTACGGGGTCATCTAATTTAGTTTACCTCCCCACCAGTACAGTAATGTTCTCAATTGTACACTCCATGTTATACTCAGTCTAGTTTTAGTATGTACCCAACAATGGGACTTAGACTATCCCATAGGCAAATACATCTCAGATAAGTTTCACTCACAAAATTAACAGTGAGAAGCTCAGATGGTATATGGATTCTTTATCCAATCTGATTTCACATTAAGAATATACTATTTTTAAATGATTGAGGATATACAAAATATTATATACACACACACACACACACACACACACACACACACATATATATACTTTGATCATTTGCTGTTTTTACATGACTTCATGAATGGCTGCATTATCTGCTGTGCTGAAGTTTATGAAGCAACTGCTGAAGTTACATTTGTTTTGTATCAGAACAATGAAATTGTTTGTTCAAGTGCAATTGCCTGTGCTCCTAATTATTGGATTTGCACTTGGAATTAACCTGAATATGCAACGTGTGGTGCAAGTTGTGCAAACAAAAAGTGAATTTTGATTATAGTTACACTTAAGATGATGCAAAAAAGTAAATAAAAATATTGCTTTCAATAGACAGATAATCATGCACTCTTTTCAATATTAATACATATAAACTATCACTTTACTAGTTGTCCACAGTAAGGTATGGCAGACATCTATGATGAGAGGAAGCTAATAATCAATGGCCCAATTCATGTCAATGTAAACTGCACCAGATGTGAGGCCCAAAATTTGTTTCTCAAAGAAGTTAATATTTGGTTTTGTGTATGCCTTTATTTCAACAAAACCAGTACAAATATCAATCATTTTAAGATCCTGAGTAAAGATTATCACATCATAGTTCAAAACCCCTATCTAGTACTTTTTAAAAATGGATTTCAGCTTTACACGCTGTTCTCTCCACAAACCTTACCCCTCTGCCCACATTAAAAAAAGGCCTGAGGGTAGGAAGATGGCAAAGCAGGAATGCTGAAACCTACAGTTATAGAAAATGCCTCAGTCATTTTTTAAACTAAACCAGCTGTGTATTTAGAAAGTAGAGTTAAAAGAAAGTAGCTACTCAAAAACCTTTGGAAGCTGCTTCGCAATGTCTCCGCCCACAAAAACAGCTTCCAAATAAATCCATAAGTTCTGCACTGTCATCCAGTTCTCAATTATGTCTGTTGTGCTGGAAAGGTAGTGTACCCATTTTTGGATCTGCGCCTTGAATGGGGTGTTGTACCTAAAAAAAATGTATAAAGTTGCTGCTATTAAAAAAGAAAACTATGATTTTTAAAGCATGTTTAGGCCTTATCAAGCACATGACATACTAAGTGGGGAAAATGCATGCCTTATGTAAATTGGACAGCACTCACCCCCCGCCCCCATATGATAATATGCTACACTGACTTAAGGTCTTCTATATACAGTTTTTTCCAGCGTCAATTCCTGCTCATCAATAGTCCCTGGACTCCAATGGGAATGTTAAAGTGAGTAAGTAAAGCAGGACTTGATCCAGAATCTTTCAAAAGCCCTGGATACATAAATCTAGGCAATGTGAACTACTCTAGGGACATTGAAGGGTCAACAATTATTTTGGTAATTTTTTTTCCCTCTAGCAGCTTACATAATGAAAGTTAATACAGCTATCTGTGGATAAGGAAGTAATCTGTAATTACTGTGATCTGTAATTACATTACAGATTGAAAAGTGTCAGAAACCCCAAGATTGCCACCATCATCTAGCCACAATCTCACTTAATTGATAGGTCCTTAGCAACTAGACATCCAAGATTCCCCTGACTCTTGCATCATTTTTGCATTATATTGTTGAGTTGTTATAAAATATAGAAATCCGGACTGGCATGCAAGAAAACAAGTTTTCCAGCCAAAGAAAAGTTCCTCTAGAAGTGGACAACAGCCAATTCTCTTTATACAAAGATCTACAATGAACCCTATCTTTTCAAATTTTAAAATTAACACACATCATTGAGATAGCATTTTATACTCTAACCACACATGAAACTTAACATGGATTAGTTATGTCCTGTAAACTGTACAGATATTTTACATAAGAAGTTCTTGGAACCATATATGGTCCTCAGTCCATGCAATTAGGTTCCAAGGAAGTCAGGGGATCATGCACAGATTAAAAGAATTGTTAAGCCTTTAGGTTCCGATCCTGTACCATGGATGTGTGTTTATACCTACATGGAGCCCCGCTGAGATCAATATGACTCTGCAGGGGCAAAGCTGACCTCCTGCCTAGGGCAGCTTTCAGGATGGGGCCTTCATTTGTACTAATAGGGAAATGTTTAGCATTAATATACTAGTGGTATTTCTGTATCTATTTTCTAATTTTTCCTTTTATGTTGGAAGGGGCAACTTTATCTAATAAGACAAAGTCTTTTGCTAATAATGAATCCCTTCTGCTGTTACCTGTTGCTCAAGAGAGAGCCCAGAACCATCAAGCTATCCTCCATGCTAGCAATCGTTTCTGAAGTGCTGTCTCCTCTCAAGAGCAGCTCACCACGAGTTTTAAAGTTGGCAAAGGTGAAAGTTTTGTTGTCCCACTCAGCAATCACCTGTTTCAGCTTCTGCTCAATGTCTCTCTCCTTCACCGCACTGATGCAAATATCCTAGTAAATAAATAGCCAGTTAATATGAGAAGCTCTTTCAGCTCAGCCTCATGCATCCCCATTCTACTCTCTCTCCAAGAGCATTAGCTAGGCTAGATGGTTAACATAAATCGGTAAGTGTTAAGACTACCGAGATACTTTTCACGTGGAAAAATAATGGAAACCTCTTTATTCATATTCATCTTAAAAGTAATACTCCTGAAAAAGGCAGGAACTTTGATACTGCAATCCTTCTACAGATGAGTTACATGAGAAGGTAGAGAGCTACTCTGTTCATTCCTGACAGCCAGACCAGCTGTTTAACTCCAGTTTAAGGATACAAAAGGCTGAGAGGCTATACAAAAGAAATCTACCTACCTACAGTTTCTCAAGATCTTCTTTCACCACAGTATTTCTACTAGTGGTAGGGACAGGATGGCCAGCTCAGTAATGTTAAGGCTTCGTTACTTCATAAAAGAAATTCAATGGAAACCTCAGGAATGGGGTGAGTATTTGGAAAGGATACCTTAGTGTGGTTTTGAGTATGTGAGAGTTGCTGAAGAATGTATGGATTCCTTCTATTTAACTACTATGAAAAATGTCATACTAAGGCTATTACAATGCCTTGAAAAGTGTTAACTGTTCATTTCTGTGCCACTCTAACAAATACCTCAATTTCCTCTTTATATTTCAGCAGAGGTGCTTCCATGATATTCCTCAATTTGAAGGTTTCGCTTTCCACCTCAAAGCTGTGTTCAGTGAGATCTGTAATCCTCTTCCAGTGCCGAGCCATCATGGCCTTATTTGACATAAGCTCAAGCAAAGGGCAGCACTCATTGAAATCATCAATTGTCTTCTTTAGATCCAAAAATGCCTGCCATTCCTTTAAAGCACGAGGAAGTTTGCGACACCTGCATATATATAATCAGTTAACTTTTTTAAAGCATTTCAGATATTCCTTTATGTTACTGAATTAGCTAAGGTAACAAGGGAACAGCAATGGCACAACATATTTCTGAAGTTAAAGTAGAGTTTAATTTAAGTTCCCTGAACTTAGTAATTATACATGTGCTTTAGGAGAACCTGTTTTTTCCCCATCAGCCTATTTCACTGGCTGCAGATCAGGGAAGACTACACACCTGTTCTAAGGAGTTCAGCTGAACAATCGTACTACCCTTACAAAGAACATTTTAACTGTCTGTTACTCCATCTATGAGCCACTTTACTACATTATAACAACTATTATCCCAGTAATATTTCTTCACCACATACAACTCTGAAATTCCTTTTAAGTTATTTTTATTTTTCAATCAACGTTTGCCAAATTTCAAAAATGGCAAAGAGTTTAAATTTTCTCAAACATTCTCCTTCCCCAAACTTTTGACCAATACTACTGATTATGGGGTAACTTAGTGGCAGTATTCTGCCTGGATGTGCAGGATAATCAGGTTTGATTCTTAAACTCACTCAATTCCCTGTTTGACAAGAGCTTCTATTCTGTACACGTATGTCAGCCCCTGTTAGATAGGAAAAGTGTTGGGTTACACAGCAGCAACCCAGTAGGTTACTGAAGGGGTTCTTTGCAGTGGAAAGTTAATTTAAATTATTTCATTTGTATTTCAGAAAAATGTAACCATCTTTCAACTAGAGAAAAGTAATTATCAATTCCAAATTTGCCCTCTAGACACAAGGAAATTATTTGTTACTTGGAAAAAAAACTCCCAAGGAACAAGAATCCTTTAACTCTCAATTGGTAAACTACTCCCTCTTTGGTGAAGATAGTAAAGAGAGAAAAGTGGAAGGTTTCAACTAAATTTTAAAGAGCAAGAACATGCTTATCTAAGTATAGTGAGTGAAAGGCAATCCATACCATTATTCAACAAGTAAAAACACCCAGCTTAACAATCTGTACACACTTCAACGCTTCCTTACCTGTTCTGAAACTCCAGAAGTTCATTATTTATTTTCGCAATGTTAACTTCTGACCAGAGGATATCATAGTAGCCATTGACGGTGTCAATAACATTGTTGTAAAGGCTGTAAAGTTTCTGTAGCAGGGTCAGCTGCTTCTTTATCTCAAGTAGCTGAGGATACTGGGTAACAGGCAAACCAAAAAGTTCTTCCCCACCAGTGTAGGTAATGTATTTTCTATAGAGGCTGTCAAATCGGTTCTAATAAAAATATATAGATGCAAATGCTAGTATTATGCTCAGAGCTCTACAAAAGAAAACACAGCCCCTGCTCACAAGCATCTATCATCTAAAAAGGCAGACAAGAGACACAGGGAGATGCAAAGGATGGTTAGAAAGTTATGTTTAAAAATAAAAATGGGACACTAAGTAGAGCCTGTGTTTGAAGTCCTCATGGAAGAAGTAAGCGGTAGCCTACATGGTAGGTTAGAAGGTTGTTTCTGGAACAGAGGGGTGGATTGAAGAAAGCAGTCGGATTGTTATCTTTGGTGGCACAGAGTGAGAAAGGTTGGTTATGATACGCAAGAGCAGAAATAAAGGCATAGGTGAGGTTTGCAGGGCCTTGAAAGCTAGGATTCGGGTCTGAAGTGCAAATCCTCAAGTGAGGGATTTGAATAGGGAAGTCGTAGCTTTTCCTTCCTAACAATGCAGACCACATTTTGCCTGTGAACTCTGGCTGTACATGAGGGAGCAACATGGGAAGCAGAGGCCCAATAAAGCAAACTGCTATAATGAGAGTGGAAACTAATCAAGGCATGTGGAAGCATTTTATCAGAAGGGGTAGTGAAGAGTACATATGTTTGGGGGAGGGTTGCATAATATAAAGAAGTGGCAAGATTTGGCAAAAGCCTGGTGATGTGGAGTGAGCATTAAAAAGTGAGACCAAAGATGCAGATATATCAAAGTGTATGCTCAGCACAATTAGACTCCAATCAGGACACCTGCGCTTAGTAATTATGTTTTATTATACAAATTCTGTATGTACGATGCACATTACCCATTTTTTGCTATTCAATTGTTTATTATTCCTTGCTAGCTAATGTCAAAAAATTTTCAACAAACTTTCATCCCAGTAGGCAAAATTAAGTGGACTACGGCCATTGCATGAGGCTATATAGCCTTGTAGAATTTATTTAAGTATTCTGCAAAATTCTGACTTACTGAAATGTTTTTGCTACTTACATGACATTTTTATTAAGTCTTTGAATTGGGAATGAATACCTGGAACATGATAAGCCTGTCACTGGCTTCCTGAGGCTCAAGACCAACCGCCATTGGTCCATTCTGGAAGAAAAAAGTTAAAGATGCTGTTCACCAATTTTAAAAATAAAGCATTTGGCACATATGATTTCACTGTCTGTTCAAGTGTTAACTTCATTAATAGTTTTTACTACTGAGTTTTGCCACCCAGACTCATATCTAGTAGTACCAGAGAGATCAGCACGCCCATTCATAGGGAAAGGTGCTTGACACGACTAAGGGTGACAGAAGGGGATTCAAGTACTTTTCATACTTAATGAATTGGGAAGGACCTTTAAGAAGTACACATCGCTATACCTTCTACTGGTGAGAGAACAGATACTAGTGAGCTGGTTTACTGGAGACTGACTCTGCCTGTTTTCTTTGCAACAATGAAATTGGGAGGGTGCAAGAAGCTTCCACCCTCCTACATGCCAGACAAACCTTGCACTAACTGGAGTACAAGCACTAATAATAAAAAAATATATATAGACTATATGGAGATATACCTATCTCATAGAACTGAAAGGTCATTGAGTCCAGCCCCCTGTCTTCACTAGCAGGACCAAGTACTGATTTTGCCCCACATCCCTAAGTGGTCTCCTCAAGGATTGAACTCACAACCCTGGGTTTAGCAGGCCAATGCTCAAACCACTGAGCTATCCCTCCCCCTGATTCAATAAGCTTGGCCTCTGAAACATTGAACTATCATCCCCATTTGCCCCCAGCTTCCCTTGCTGAAAAATCATGACCCCTACCACATGCTCCAGAAAAAAAAGTGAACTGACTCTCGTGCTCCATGATCACAGCACCCTCTGCAATGAAGTTGAACACCACAGAGTTTACAAGGGTCACACAGAGAACTTCCAAGCTGTTTCTTTTTTTAAGTTTCTTTCTTTTGAAATACTCCACAGATTAATACCTTGTCGTAGTCTGCATAGTACTGATGACAATCTTCAGTGAATATCTCCACAGTGCTAATTAGTTCTCCCCTGAAGTTGGGCTGCAAAGCTACTAGCTCATTCTGCACTTCATTTGCCCGGACCAGAAGCTTCTCCCAGATATAGCGCAGGGTGTCCACCTTCTCCATCTCTTCCTTTGCCACCAGCAGCTCATATTTGTTTAACATTGCATAGGATTCCTGTCAGAACAATGGTTGCATCTATATCCACCATGTACAGAACATGCTATATTCTATACAAATACATATATAAATCCTCAAGATTTTAAATGTGGGAGACTGAAGACAGTGCCAGATGGTCTTTTAGAGAAGCAGGAAAGCTATGCTAATATAGTTGTGCATAAACAACAAATTCAGGAATCCATGATCACACAGAAATTAAAACTACTGTTTTTCCTCTTCACAGCTCTGATGGATTTTTGTTTGTGTTTCAACCTTTTCCTCTAAAATTCTTTGCTGGTTATAATGACAAGAGCCTATGTAATCTACAAATTCATTTTCATTGCAATAAGTGTAAGAAGAATTAAATTAAAGCTATGCTTCAGAACTGACCCACTATAATGACTACATTCAGCACTACCACCAGTAGTACATGGAAGAGAGGAATAGCTAAACATTTTACAATAAAATAGCCAACACTCTTGAACAGATCTTCTTTTGCATACATGCTTAAATCTAATACACCTCTACCTCGATATAACGCTGTCCTCGGGAGCCAAAAAATCTTACCGCGTTATAGTTGAAACCGCGTTATATTGAACTTGCTTTGATCCACCGGAGTGCGCAATCCTGCCCCCCCGGAACACTGCTTTACCGCGTTATATCCAAATTCGTGTTATATCGGGTCGCGTTATATCGAGGTAGCGGTGTATCAGATATTTACCACTAAGAGTAGTGGGAATCCAGCACAGCCAAGATTTACCAGAGATCGTAGGTGTATGAATTGACAATTAAGTATATTAGCTGCTTTATTACCTGCTCTCCCAACTCTGCCCCCTCCCACATCTATAGATTCCAATACTGTGGTGTCTGAGTACCTGAATTTTCATATGTACCATTGATGCTTTGTTTCGATATGCTACATTGCGACAACTAGCTAAAGTAATCAGAAACCAATTAAATTGGTCTAATATATTTTCATTCTAGAACTTTAAGAACTTTGGGTAACTCTTTGTTACAAACAAAAATATGGGTGAAAGAGGGACTGGAACTGTACTCTACTAATGACAGCCAAGAAAAACATTTAATTTAGACCAAATAATGGACTAAAAATCAATCTTGATATGAGTTTTCCTAAGGAAGCTGTTGTATAGGAGTACACCAAGATACAAAGCTAGCCAAAAACTGGTTTGTGAATCAACAAATATGTCTGTTATTTGCACCTCTAACAAATGCATGAATGCTTTCTAGCTTCCAGGGATACTGAAAGTATCATGTATGAAACGCAATATTTTCAGTCCACAACCCATATTTGGAGCACATTAGCATATTTCCTTAATTACAGCTATAAACTGCACTTCAGAAATTGCTGAAGTTTATTCTAGAGAAAACTGACATAGAAAAACAGTTGTCCTAATCAAGCATTTCATCAGCAAATGCACCCCTTATATATCCAAGCTAAGAGAGTAGACTTGCTAGTACCTCTGGTAAGTAGAAAACATGCAGTAAGCTAACTAAAGAGCTAAGAATTCAAAAGGCAGGCACAACAGAAGCACAAAATAGTTGGTTGCTGGTTGGGAATTTAAGCCAGAAGCTTCTATTTGAGGTGTAGCCATCAATAAGCCACACTGTACAAAACTGCACTGGGACAGGGTCATGCTTTAATGGTGAAACAGTCAAATAGGAAATGGATATTTTCTTTAAAATTACAGCATAAACTTTAAATTTTCTGTCTTGGTCAGGAGAACCTGTGATTCTCCCACGAGTCAGCAACACTTTCTTTATCAAGTACTTGTCGTCAGCATGATGTACATCCTCAGGCTCAATTCTACCTCCATCTTCCCTCTTGACTTAGATCTGCAGTATACCCTCCCTACACTGTATACAACTCCCTACAGCTCTGTGTCGATCTACCTGTCACCATCTCCTGCCTCTTGTTTTGGCTACCTGTCAGCTTGAAATGCCCATAGTTCAGCACAGACCTGCAGCCTGCCCTCTCCCACTCATGAAGCCGCACAGTCACATCACCTATCCTGCTCTAGCACCTATATTGAAGCCCAGTTCTTTTCAGGATCCATTGTGCAACTGCCATTTAAGCCTGCATGGACTTGTTCTACCAGACTCCAAAGAGCTCTGGCTATTCATCTAACAGTCACCTCCTTTGTGTCTCCATACGCTTTGGCCTCTGCTGCACCCAAGGGCAACAACCTTCTTGTCAACTGCCTTAGTAATTCTCATTTGAGAATTCCACTTGTCTGAGCCTCTCCATTTCTCTCTGCTGCTATGACAGGCTCATGCCTACGTGCTGCCTCTTGGCTCATTGAGTTTACATTTGCCATAACGGGAGTTCTGCACATGAAAGACTTTCAGGACCAGACTCATTTTATTATTTAACTAATTAGCTCATATTAGCACTACTATATATATATTTTTTTTTTCTCATCACATTTTCAAAATTTTCACTGCAAGTAAACACAGGCTTATCTCCTTTTGATTACCTCAATAGGTACCACTTGGAAGTCTATGGGGATTTGTTGCTCTCTAATCTCTTTTAATGCAGCCATAGCTATTCTTATGTCATCCAAATCCTTAATTTGTCGATTCAGTTTCTTGCCGATTTCCTCTACAAATGTGAAAATGTTTTCCATCTCTGTTCTGTATTTCTTGTTACAGTGACGCCCCAACTCAATCATCCAAGCCTTGGTTTCTGCAGCCAGTGCTAGCTTCAGGTCAGCTAACAGAGAACAAGTCATTTTAGATCATTTCCCCAAAAGCAGGTTTTATACACATGAGCCTCTTGTTAAATTGTCAGTACTTTTTCAAATATAGACATTGATTTTGTTTTCAGATGACTATTACATATGTGTTTTATTCTTGTGTTTGTGGGGTTAAGAGATTTGGCAAAAAGCAATGTACATTTTGTCAGAATGATCATTTCAATTTCATCTTAAAATAATCTAATTGTCAAGGACCTGTTTTTGCCTCTAAGCGACATAAGGATGCTGGACAAGGGTCCTTGAGCCACTGAGCTTCGGTAGTTGGAGCCTATATGATTATAGAAGGCAGTTTATGTCATGTCTTCAGGGATGCTGAAGAGAGCATGCTGAAGAGTGGCAATGACTGTATCTCTACAAGCATTTCAGCGTCCTATTTTCACAAGTGCTATAACCAATGCTCCACCCTTCTGTAAGTGCATAACCTCAGTTCTAGCCTCCAGGTACAAGTGTGCATGTGGTGAGGGAAAAACCATGCACAGAACCCAGCCCACCACCCTTTTTGGGGTACATAATACTGTTCATAGCTCAAGTGTCACCCCAACCAGGGTGCACCTGAATGATGACTGATTCCTGTATTGGAGTGCTTTAGATGGACCCTGCACTCTTCCCCTGCTGTGAATTCACACAGAGGGAGCCAAAGTTTGGCTCTTTACTTAATTTCTATTTTACACAATTGTGAGCGCTCACACTGTACATGTATTATCTTGTTCATCAGTTTAGTTGTCCACACTCCAATTTTATTCTCTGAACTATCAGGTTAAATAAAAACACAATGGGAAAGTTATCATTTAAATCATTTTAGAATAATTGGGGTAGGGAATTAAGTGAAATCTTAAAAAAACTAATGATACACAAAACTACTCATTTAACTTGTAGGAGCTTTGCCATTTATTTAATGGGCACAAGTTTCCAATTTCAATGGGGAAAATTAAGGCCCCAATTCTTACTTCTGCTATGCTGCTGTAAAACCTTTTAAAGCAAGATCAAAATAAAGGACATGAAACTGCTCTGGCTTCAATGATGAATATATATTAGTGACAATGCATAGGATTAGTTTAAATTATCCCATTTAATATAGGTTATTGCTTGTATGTCCTTCTATTACCTGTGCAAAGTGTGACATTTATTATTTTGACCTGTCATACATTCCTATGCATGGAGCCCTCTTATTCCCATGAGCATGTTACCTGTTTTGTGGGTCACAGAATGAGGCTCCTCCCTCCCTCTGCAGGGCCACTAGCCCCCATGCTGCACAGGTGGGCAGGGAACGTGCAGGAAGGGGAAAGGCAGGCTGGCTGAGTCTTGGTTCTGCCCACGTGTTGGCTAGTGTGATTACGTCACACACCCATACACCACTTTATCCCCTGCAACAGAGTGTCTCCCTCTGCTAGTGCAACTACACCCATCCCTTGCAGCCATGCCACCAATGAGTTCTGAGCATACCAAGTAGTTTTTCCCTCCCTAATAACTTTGAAACAATTTCATGAATTGATTCTAAATATAAGTAAATGCATTTGACTCCTTTCAAACAGTAGTAACATTTTGACACAGATAATTCATGCTTCAGATCTGAGCATGAAGGGTAAAAGTGGATCTTATCACAGAAGCCTGGCTAAAAGCTTAAGATACTGTCCCTCAACAGAATCTTTTTATGGGTCTCAGAGGTATAATTATGGGGAGAATTTAAAAGTGCATTTTAAGGCAATAGTCTCAATTGCTTCAATATGCATTAATGATAAAGGTCAGAGTGGGAAAGTATAACATTTGTTCTACAAAATACTTGAGCTGACCACTGTACCACTATATAGTGCCATAGCTCCCACACAGATGTATTCAGGCTCCGAGTTTATCTCCAGCTCCAAGTCTCTGAAATGGAGGATCTGGGACTCAAATTCAGAGAGTAAAGGATTCCCTGTTATGAACTTATTGATGGTTTCCTCCTTCTTCCTTTGCCAGATGTGGTCATAACATTTGAAATGCTCCAGAGCTGTAAGAACCTCCTGGAATAAATGACAAGGTCAAAGGAAGTTTCTCAGTGAGCAGCTGTGAACAAGTAATTTCTCAGATATTTCAGATGTTGGTTCAAGTTCAGTTGAAGTAAATGGTGGTGTAAGCTGCATTTCAGCACCAAACAGGAGGGTGTTGAAATATTTAAGTTAAGCAAATACTGCTAGAATGCAATATCTATTCAGATACAAAAAAACTAATCATACTGAATATGGCTGAACAAGTCACCATGTACCTGTTAGATTATTTAGTACTAAAACCTTCCCTCAGTTACTAGTATGCAACCTCAACTACAAATCAGTGGAAATAATATGGTCCCTTTAGGTTAAAAGGGGCAATGTCTTAGGGGTTGTCTACACTACCCGCCGGATCAGCAGGTAGCGATCGATCCAGTGGGGGTCGATTTATCGCATCTACTATAGTATAGACGCGATAAATCGACCGCTGAGAGCTCTCCCGTCGACTCCGGTACTCCACCAGAACGAGAAGCGCAAGCGGAGTCAACGGGAGAGGGTCAGCCGTCAACTTACCGCAGTGAAGACACCGTGGTAAGTAGATCTAAATACGTCGACTTCAGCGATGCTATTCATGTAGCTGAAGTTGCGTATCTTAGATCAACCCCGTGCGATAGTGTAGACAAGCCCTTAGTCGGTGTGATGGCAAGAATTCAAATAGAGGAGGCATTTTCTCTTCTCTTTGGATTATCTCTCTTCCCATAGCCAAGAAGAGTTTTGAGACAAAAGTGTGCCTAATTAGTTTGCAATCTTTATTTTTTTATATTGCCTTTGGCACTTTCCAGTAACCCACTTCCATATTGCAACTTCTGAATAATGAGAAATAAACATTACTTTGGGGTTTATTACTTGCCTATGAGGAAATAACCACTATCCTGGATTTCTACCAGTGTCATGTGCTGGACATTGCTATTAGATCCACAGGGCAGTGGTGTTCAGTTATATGTTAGGCAGAACAGTGTTTAGGCCTTTTGCACACGGATGATGTGCAACTGAGATGATTCTCAACTGTGCCCTTTATTCCATCCATGAATGTATGCATTTCTGGCCAAATCTTCAATGCAGTTACCAGCCCTTTAAAGGATGAGCAGATACAGGGTAGAGCAAGGTAAATCCCCCTTCCCAGGCTGCAGAGCACCTTCAAAAGCCAGTGGCTCTGAATAGGCCCAGCAGACACTCGTTGCCCCTACAACAATACAGTCTCTGGGCCTATGGCTCACCTAGGGTGATCAGACAGCAAATGTGAAAAATCGGGACGGGGGTGGGGGGTAATAGGAGCCTATATAAGAAAAAGATCCAAAAATCGGGACTGTCCCTATAAAATCGGGACATCTGGTAACCATAGGCTCACCCCTTTCACACCATGAACACCATAGCATGCAAGGAATATACACCCATAGCGTCATCTCCCCACAGCCAGACCACTGCACCTCAGGCAGCTGAACATCTATGCCCCCCTCCACAGCTGCAGAGGCAGCAGCTGGATTTTCCTCTGAGGGCTTAATACACCAGTCTTACTGAGGCACTCCCACTAGCTTTGGCAGAACTTTTACTTGAGTACTCAGGATCTTGCCTTCTCACCAATACATTTCTATAGCAAGTGTCTTGGGTCACTAGTGAAAAATTACCACCTCATTCTGTCAAAAATCATTAAGATGTACTAGCTACACTCTTTCAGATGTGTCCAGTGGGGTAGTTCACACCCTGGGGACTTGTTATCCATTTTTAGTTTTATGTTAAACAATAAGCTTGAACTCCCCTAAAGCTTTCAGAGCTGTGTGCTTTTTTACTGTTCAAAGTTACCCTTTCTAGACATGATGCAACTACAAATGTTCTCTCTCCACCATCACAGTTTCTCTTGTTCTCATTAAGCAATTTTTATAAGCATGTCACTATCCTATATACATTAGCCCAGTGTTGTAGGCTCCTTATATTTCATGGCATAAGGACAGTGCCATAGATAGTAAGATTCAACCATAACCCTGCTTGCTTACCTTTTTGGTAGAACTGAGGACAGTACTAAGTACAGAGACCAATTTAATAATTTCCTTGTTCTCAGAAACACTTTTGTGGTAGTTTTTGTTTTGCACTGGAGCAGGCAAGTTTGCAGTTGCTACTTCTGAGGTGGTATCTAAAAGGACAGAACCATTGAAAGTATTTGTAAAGACCAATTTAAGAAAATGTTATAATTCTCAGTTCGACAAAACTCCCAAGTTGAAGACATGTGGTCTCTCAATAGGCATTCCCTCTAAGTCTTAATATTTTAATCCATCAAAAGAGTATAGTCAATTTTACAAGTGGCTGATACAAAGCCATTCTTCACCAAAGACACCTAGTGAAGAGACAATCCTTGTCACCAAACAGCCACCTGTTCACTTCAAGCTCCTCAGCACAGAGTAGGGCAGTGCACTCTGTTTCGGTCTCACCCGAACAATCCCTGTTTTTCTTTCTTTCAAGGAGTTTATATCATGTACATCACTTGGAGTGACTAAGCCAAAAGTGTGGTATTTGGAAGCAGCATCAACCAACTCTGGAGGAAGACAAAATCAAATCATCTCAAGCAGAGGGAGGTGGGCCACCATTCAGGTATATTGATATTAAAGAAAGGGGGATTCCAAAAGGGCACCCTCTCCATCCTATGTCCTAAAAAATGGAAGTACTAAATTAGCATTATGTGTACTTAAGTATTACTTCAAGGATGGTCCAGTGATTAAGGTGCTAGGCTAGGACTTGGGAGACCTGGCTTCAAGTCCCTGCTCTCCCATAGACTTCCTGTGGCAACTCTGGGCTAGTCCCTTGAATTCTTGGCCTCAGTTCACCATCTGTAAAACAGGAGTACTAGCACTTCCCTATCTTACCAGGGTGATGTGAGGATAAATATATTAGCAGGTTTGAGGCATTCAGATACTACACTAATAGGGATTGTGTAAGTAACCAAGATAAACAGATACAAACGATGAATTTGGCTTAAGTTTAAATTTACTCCAACACTACTATAAATCACTACCCAGGAAGTAGACACCACCTTAAAATGTGTTTTTAATCATTTAAGTATCTGAATGTAAGTGGCTGCACAGGCAGTCACAAAATAAACTTTGTCTTTAAATGTTCATATCGCAGTGTTAGTCTACATGCATCCCATCCTGAAACCCTCAGAGCAGCTTCTCTGGGACCACTACAATCACTTGTGCAATACATTTTCTTATACTGAAGAACTGAAATGTAAGTGCACTCTGCTTTTGGTGTAAAGTAACATTCTAAAGGGGTAAGTTAAGTGCAGGTCTAAAGACTATATTGTGGCTGTGAAGCCACAGTGCACATTGGAGTGGTCATGGAAACATTCTACCATAGTGGAGTCCCCACAAACATTTTGGCTACCTCAGCCAGAATTTCCATGAAGGTACTGGGAGGGCTAAACATCACAGAGCCAGGGCTGCCACACCTTTAGCAGGGTACAATTAGCACTCTCCTTAAGCCAGTTCAGGTAATTCGGATGGGGGAAGGGCGGCCAGCATATCCCTCATCCCGCGCCGCTTCCTGCAGCCCCCATTGGCCTGGAGCGGTGAACCGCGGCCAGTGGGAGCCGCGATCGGCCGAACCTGTGGACGGGGCAGGTAAACAAACAGGCCCGGCCCACCAGGGGCTTTCCCTGAACAAGCGGCGGACCGGCTTTGAGAACCACTGCTGTAGACTCTCCTGGTCCTCATATACCAGGATAGCAAGCACAGGGATTGTGCCCAGCCCCTCACTGTATTTGCACCCTCTTCTGCTCGTGCACCACAAATCTGTCCTCCAGGGTGATATAAGATTAGTGTATTCTGAGTGATATCATCTTCATATCCAAGTAGTTATACATATCCCAGAACACATACCGTAGGAGAGACAACATTTATGTCTAAATCTGAGGCAGTGATATTATAAAGTTAATTACCCTGAGCATTTTTTACTCCAGTCTCTCTCATTCCATCATCAGAATCACTGTCTTCGCTACTGCGCCGCAAAGCAGCTATTTTTCTTTCTAGCATTTTTTTCTGTGTAGGAAGTAGAATGATCATATTTATTTTCTGTCAGAAATTTTTCAAGAGCAGGATTTTTAAATATATTTTAAAAGGGAGTCTACTGAAGACAAACCTTAGACATTCTCTCTTTACTCCACTGACCAACTCCTTTCATGACACTGACAATACTCTCCACAGCTTTATTAAGTGTTTGCTGTACCTCATCCAAAGCTGGCATCATAACGATATTTGGGATAGACAAGTTAATGCTAGTCCGAAAAATAGGCTGAGCACTCTGTTTTTGCTTAGAAGCACTGTCATTGTCTAAAGGGAAAACAAAACCGATTGTTATAAGTAGAGTTTTAAAAACCTGTACAGTATTCTTTATTTTGTCCATAGATATGAAACTAAACCAATTTACAGTGATCTGTTTTCACCATCTATAGCTTTTTTTAAATATAGCCTATTGGTGGTTACTGAACTTAGTATTGTTTAGGGGAACACTTATTCCAGCTACTTATTTTGTAACTGAGGCTGCATTAAAAGACTCTGAAGTCAATAGCAATACAAAAATCCTCTAAACTCTTATGCCATTACTTTATGCACTCTCCCCCCACCACAAAAGCTGATTGGTATAAAAACATTAGAACAAAACTATCAGCAAATAATCTGATTTGTGCACTCAAATACAAATTTGTACATTAAGAAAATAAGAACATAAGAACGGCCGTACCGGGTCAGACCAAAGGTCCATCTACCCCAGTATCCAGTCTATCGACAGTGGCCAATGCCAGGTGCCCCAGAGGGAGTGGACCAACAGGCAATGATCAAGTGATCTCTCTCCTGCCATCCATCTCCATCCTCTGACAAACAGAGGCTAGGGACACCATTCCTTACCCATCCTGGCTAATAGCCATTAATGGACTTAACCACCATGAATTTATCCAGTTCTCTTTTAAACGTGGTTATAGTCCTAGCCTTCACATCCTCCTTAGGTAAGGAGTTCCACAAGTTGACTGTGCGCTGCGTGAAGAAGAACTTCCTTGTATTTGTTTTAAACCTGCTGCCTATTAATTTCATTTGGTGACCCCTAGTTCTTGTATTATGGGAATAAGTAAATAACTTTTCCTTATCCACTTTCTCCACATCACTCATGATTTTATATACCTCTATCATATCCCCCCTTAGTCTCCTCTTTTCCAAGCTGAAGAGTCCTAGCCTCTTTAATCTCTCCTCATATGGGACCCGTTCCAAACCCCTAATCATTTTAGTTGCCCTTTTCTGAACCTTTTCTAGTGCCAGTATATCTTTTTTTAGATGAGGAGACCACATCTGTACGCAGTATTCGAGATGTGGGCGTACCATCGATTTATAGAAGGGCAATAATATATTCTCAGTCTTATTCTCTATCCCCTTTTTAGTGATCCCTAACATCCTGTTTGCTTTTTTGACCGCCTCTGCACACTGCGCGGACATCTTCAGAGAACTATCCACGATGACTCCAAGATCTTTTTCCTGACTTGTTGTAGCTAAATTAGCCCCCATCATATTGTATGTATAGTTGGGGTTATTTTTTCCAATGTGCATTACTTTACATTTATCCACATTAAATTTCATTTGCCATTTTGTTGCCCAATCACTTAGTTTTGTGAGATCTTTTTGAAGTTCATCACAGTCTGCTTTGGTCTTAACTATCTTGAGCAGTTTAGTATCATCTGCAAACTTTGCCACCTCACTGTTTACCCCTTTCTCCAGATCATTTATAGATAAGTTGAATAGGATTGGTCCGAGGACTGACCCTTGGGGAACACCACTAGTTACCCCTCTCCATTCTGAGAATTTACCATTAATTCCTACCCTTTGTTCCCGGTCTTTTAACCAGTTCTCAATCCATGAAAGGACCTTCCCTTTTATCCCTTGACAATTTAATTTACGTAAGAGCCTTTGGTGAGGGACCTTGTCAAAGGCTTTCTGGAAATCTAAGTACACTATGTCCACTGGATCCCCCTTGTCCACATGTTTGTTGACCCCTTCAAAGAACTCTAATAGATTAGTAAGACACGATTTCCCTTTACAGAAACCATGTTGACTATTGCTCAACAATCTATGTTTTTCTATGTGTCTGACAATTTTATTCTTAACTATTGTTTCGACTAATTTGCCCGGTACCGATGTTAGACTTACCGGTCTGTAATTGCCGGGATCACCTCTAGAGCCCTTTTTAAATATTGGCGTTACATTAGCTAACTTCCAGTCATTGGGTACAGAAGCCGATTTAAAGGACAGGTTACAAACCTTAGTTAATAGTTCCGCAACTTCACATTTGAGTTCTTTCAGAACTCTTGGGTGAATGCCATCTGGTCCCGGTGACTTGTTAATGTTAAGTTTATCAATTAATTCCAAAACCTCCTCTAGTGACACTTCAATCTGTGACAGTTCCTCAGATTTGTCACCTACAAAAGCCGGCTCAGGTTTGGGAATCTTCCTAACATCCTCAGCCGTGAAGACTGAAGCAAAGAATCCATTTAGTTTCTCCGCAATGACTTTATCGTCTTTAAGCGCTCCTTTTGTATCTCGATCATCCAGGGGCCCCACTGGTTGTTTAGCAGGCTTCCTGCTTCTGATGTACTTAAAAAACATTTTGTTATTACCTTTGGAGTTTTTGGCTAGCCGTTTTTCAAACTCCTCTTTGGCTTTTCTTATTACATTCTTGCACTTAATCTGGCAGCGTTTATGCTCCTTTCTATTTGCCTCACTAGGATTTGACTTCCACTTTTTAAATGAAGTCTTTTTATCTCTCACTGCTTCTTTTACATGGTTGTTAAGCCACGGTGGCTCTTTTTTAGTTCTTTTACTGTGTTTCTTAATTTGGGGTATGCATTGAAGTTGGGCCTCTATTATGGTGTCTTTAAAAAGCGCTCATGCAGCTTGCAGGGATTTCACTTTAGTCACTGTACTTTTTAACTTCTGTTTAACTAACCCCCTCATTATTGCATAGTTCCCCCTTTTGAAATTAAATGCCACAGTGTTGGGCTGTTGAGATGTTCCTCCCACCACAGGGATGTTGAATGCTATTGTATTATGGTCACTATTTCCAAGTGGTCCTGTTATAGTTACCTCTTGGACCAGCTCCTGCGCTCCACTCAGGACTAAATCTAGAGTTGCCTCTCCCTTTGTGGGTTCCCGTACCAGCTGCTCCATGAAGCAGTCATTTAAAGTATCGAGAAATTTTATCTCTGCATTTCGTCCTGAAGTGAAATGTTCCCAGTCAATATGGGGATAATTGAAATCCCCCACTATTATTGGGTTCTTAATTTTGATAGCCTCTCTAATTTCCCTTAGCATTTCATCATCACTATCACTGTCCTGGTCAGGTGGTCTATAATAGATCCCTAATGTTATATTCTTATTAGAGCATGAAATTTCTATCCATAGAGATTCTATGGAACATGTGGATTCACTTAAGATTTTTACTTCATTTGATTCTACATTTTCTTTCACATATAGTGCCACTCCCCTCCCCCCCGCATGACCTTAAATAGGATATGAATTTTTGAATTCTCAAATATTGTGGTGCACAAAATTGCAGATGCAACTTAGATGAAAGATGGAAGCCTCTAATTTTATTTATGTCTTTAAAGGTGGGCTGCCAAGAAAATAAATTGGATTTCAGTCCACTCTCATGATATATGAACAAGTCCTAAAAGACCTGTGTTTGTCTGTGGCAGCTTGTCAGCTAAGAAGCAGAGGGAGTTGATACCTGTAGTGCCAAAACCTCTCTATACAAACTTCAAGACCCAACAGGTTACAGTGTCCCAGATTTTCAGTTACAAAGTCTGGTCACCCTATGCACGCACAAGGCTACACCTACTTTCATGCATCTGGGCCCAAAATACTTATATTTAATTTTGCCATAATAAACATAACCCACCAGTAGCTGGGGATTCATCTTATGGGGAAAATTCCCTTGGAAACGTACAACGCAGGCAACTGTGGTGTAACAAGCCAGCCCACAAAATTGCTTGTTTACCTATTCCACCCTCCTTTGAAGATCTGGCTTTGGGTTAGCATGGTACTAGGATACCATGTCTAATTGTTCTTTTCAGCACACTAATTAAAATGTAAAGTAGTAGAACCTATGGCTACCTAAGAAGTTGATCGCAGAAGAGGCATGAATGCACTTGCGTATGGTCTCCAGAGTGTTCCGAGTGACCTTCAAAAGGGCATCAATATTGCGGTGATTGAAGTGGGTAAGCAGTTCTTGGGCTTCTTCCTCTAACATTTCCATCTCCTTTCTCTTCTTCTTTGTTAAAGGAGGAGACATCCCAGCCATAATCTGACTTGCTGTATGAGAGGATGCCAGTTTCTCCTTTCTCCCTTCCTCCTCTATTGTTAAAAGCAAATCAATAAAATTATAGTAATTTATAACATAATTTAATAAACTATGGAGAGAAAGAGGAATACAATTACATGTCTGGAAATTAACAATTTTTAATACCATCTTTATAAAGAAGTGTAAGCGAGTGGATGTCCATAATGCCTTGCCCAGGGGTAAATCACTTTGCAGATTACAGTGACCTGAAGACTAAATTCTATATTCAATACAGACCTAGTAGATTTACCCCTGGGAATGTGAAGATACATCTTTCTGCCTATCCAGTCAAGCCTTGTCCTTTCTCTATGAAATGTGGTGGCCAAATAATGCCTATCACTGCTAGCTTCTGTGACATGGACACTTGGCTGTGCGAGTTGGATTGATGTCACTAGCCTACTTCACATAAGGAAAGCAGCTGAAAGGTTTCGTATCACCTTTCAGTCGCTCTAAACTAGATTCAAGCCTGTAATCTGTAGGTGTGAAAGGCTCTAAGTATCAAATTAACTATTAGCCCTCTGGGCCCCCAGCATATTTTATCTACATGTACAGACAACTAAGTGTGAAGCAAAGACAACTGCTTTTGTATCCGAAGAAGTGGGCTGTAGCCCACGAAAGCTTATGCTCAAATAAATTTGTTAGTCTCTAAGGTGCCACAAGTACTCCTGTTCTTTTTGCTTTTGAAGTATTTCCTCTTACCTGTACTTTCATTCACTTCACTCATTTCAGCATTGACTGGAAGCAGAACTGACTTCTCATTTTCTCCTTTGGAATGCACCTCTGTGTCCAATAACATGTTTATCAGCTCATTGGCTGCTTCTTCCACCAATGAGCTTTTCAAATGCAAAGTCTGTGCACCTTGAACACAGAGCTCCTATCAATAAATACATCAAATACTGTTGAGTCTGATTTTTTTTTTAGTCTTTGCTGGCACACACAACTTTGAGAGGTACATTATCCTATAAGTAATTCCACTACCATCAATAAGGCTAGACATGGAATAAGGTATGTAAGTTGATCAAGTGTGCAGTGTCATGAACTGAAGCAATCTCATGATTATTTTGATATTTGTTTTTCTTAAAGCGCCGGAATCTGGTACTGCATGAGAATCTCAGCTTTTATTAAAAAAAACACTTTCTAGGTTTAATTAATTTAAAAGCTCAAAAAAATCAGAAGGCACATAGACAACCAAAATTTACTTTTAAAATATCTTGATTTTTGGGAAGGGGCCTAATTCATGATTTTGAACGATTATGTTAGCAATAGCAAGTCTGGCACGAGCAGGCTTTCTCAACAATAGTGTTTTTCAAGGTCATTTTGTTTAGTTTAATGAGTCACATGACTTTGCTCAGCATTTGCACCAAACTATTAAGTTTTCATAAGGAACGCTACAGAGAAAGGGAAGAAGCTGCATAATCCAGCCTGTCACATTTATATCAGCAAATTTGTTTTTTTGTTTTTTTTTTGAGAAAACAAAACAAAACACTCTCCAATTTTGAATCAGTTAGCCAGTCCAGATGGAGCATTAATCAATTCCATGTTATTCTTTCATCAGGTCACAAGGGAAATACTGGTGAGCGCTGCATTCATGGTTAAGATTGGCAGGCGGGATACCAAAACTTTTTTAGAGCAACAGTGATTAAAGTGAAATAGTTAACAGAAAGTATGGGAAGGGGACAAAATATTAACACAGAGCAGTTACATATCTATTTTTTTTGTAATTTCATTAGGGCTGGTCAAAAGTGTTCAAAACAGAAAGTTTAATTTTAAATTGAAAAATATGGGGAAGTTCCCACCTTTTCGCTTCTATTAATTTCCCATGGGAAAAAAGCGAGGAAGAGCTCCAAAATTTAAAATTGAGAAACTGAAAAAACTGTTTACAAGTTTAACTGATTGACAAAAAGTTTTGACTTTTAATAGAAATCATGTTATTTTACATAGTGGAACTATTTCAGAACATTTCAATTCAGCCTCTGATTTTGGACCTGTGATCAATAGTGGGTGCAGCATTGCAGAAGCACTGAAGCAGCACATGAGATAGAGGGCTTCAATAATTTTCGATGAGATGTCTTTCCATTCTGATTGTCTAATCACTAACCTGATGTCTAAAGGATCAAGATATCTTTCAAGAAGGTTAGTCTTCTCTGCTACAGGTATCTGCAATTGATTGCACCTATAACACGTCTCCCCATTGTCAGTAGAGTGTCAAAAATCAAAATCCATCTTTAAGAGGTCAGCTCTAAAACTTTTATTTTTGCTACATGTGTTATAACTGTATTAAGACACTCCCCGCTACACAGTAAGGCTGATGGTCTCCTTTCTTGGGTGCACTGGAGGCTGATGGCTTCACCTCATATTCCACTGAGAAGTTTCACACAAACAGGTATTCTAGTTCAATATAATCAATAACTGGAAAGATTTTCCTTTAGCACATTTTAATATTCTAATACATGTAATATACTATGTTTCCAATAATCAAGATCACTTCCAATTGTGACTTAGGCTTGGTCTGCACATTTTTGTTCCAGTGCAACTATTAAATTAAGGTTGTGATTTTTTTTTTAAACCCAGTAAATTATGCCAGCACAACCCCTAGGGGGATGCAGTTATTCCAGTATAAAGGCAAAGCTTATTTTCTTTCCCTTATGGGAATAAACTAGAACAGTGTAATGCACCTTTATCCCAGTTCAACTGCATCCACAACACAGAGTTGGATCACTCATTATGCTGGTATAGTTAAGTGGTTCAACTTTTCAGTTTAGACAAGTCCTTACTTTGCCACTTGCTCCTGTTTAGAATTTATTCATTCAGGACTGTTTTCACTACTACAGGTCTATTTGCATCAATGTACCTACTAGAATCCCCATATTTAGGGTTACCACAGCAGCACTCCAATTCTTTATCCAGCCCTAGACATTTTCTTATCTGTTTTCCTACTTACTGCTAGCTATCTAAATCCAAATTATAGTTGTATCCAAAATATTTCAAGTTTACAGATTATGGATGCCCATTACCTTTGTATCACTGACCACTGCATGCATTGGGGGCTTTAAACTACCCTCCCGCCACCAATAGGTTACATCCTAACTACACTGAAGGGAGAGCATTCAGGTATGATTACTTCTCAGAGGGTCTTTCACTGAAATTATATTACACAATTGCCTAGAAATACCCTGCTTGCTGTATCTTACTGCTTTAAGAATCATGGAAATCTGACCATGCTAACACTTACGTGAGTAGTCACATGACATCACTGCGACTACTTATGGATATAAGAACTAGCTCAATGAGGACGGTTAAATAATTTGGTTAGTTGTTTTAAGAGAAACCCTGGAACTGAAAGCCCATGGAATGTCAGTTAAAAATTAATTTGTTCTTTGTTCGCAATTTTAAATTCTGTAAGTAATTCTAACACCTCATTCCAGAATTCACTGTGATTTAACCAGCAATACTTGTTTTCACTTGCCTATTACATGTGAAAACTAAAAACTTGAATATGATTGGGTTAACTCATACCCTTCTGTGGGGAATGAAGTCTTTCCAAGGACCTACTCTTTTGCAATGTCTCAGGGATAGGGTTTGCCTGTGCACTGGCCCCCTCTATCCAGATCAGCTCAAGAGGCCATGGGGATAAAAAAAACCTGCAAATTCCCAACCATCTCCATAGTACTACTCTCCAGGGCAGTTGAGAGCTGAGCCCTCCAGTCAGCCAAAGCATGTTCACAGGCACCTCCAGCCCTTCTTGCTTCACAGAAACCATGTCATGACAAGTGTCAGACCTCTAAGACAGTGAGAGGAAAAAGGGTGAATGGAAGCTCTTCAAATTAAGTTCATTGGTATAAAACAGGACAAGGAGTAACTACCATAGCCTGTCTGACACTGGAAGCTCAACAAGCCATCTCATAACTGAAACATTTGTGCATTTCCTACATTTGTGCATTTTAAACATGTCACTCTCAGAGAACTGGGACATTTTTAGTCATTCTCATTATCAAATTACTTCAGTAATTTAAATCATTAGCGCAGTGTTCATGTCTAATGAAAAGCATGTCATACTCACTCAGCAAGCACATACTTCAATGTAGAGTAACTCAACATATTTTTAGAAGAGTAAGTCTCATAACCTTAGTCATTTGGAGAAATTCCTCACAGGTAAGTGGTTCATCTTCTGGCAGGTCACAAAGCGGCACACTGCTCATTTCTTGTAGAACAGCATCAATACGAAATTCTATCAGATCATTCACTCGATCAAGCAGCAGCTCCAGCTCAGCTTTCCAAACAAAAGATCATGCAAAAAAAAAAAAAATCCAAAAGAGGTTCAAAGGGAGGAGATGGTAGTTGGTATAAAGCCCCACCTAATTCCTTTCTCATGCTTTTGTCCTCAACATGCTGATATATTTGGACTGATCACATTAGATTACATCAAATTTTCTTTCATTTTAAGTGTTATGACTTAAGGAGTAAGGTTTATGAATTCATGAAATAAAGTTTTTCTAAGAACTACCATTTTAGCATGTGTGCAACAGACAATGTGCAGCAAAATCTGGCCCCAGTTTCATCATATAATAACACTAGCTAGTACTCAAAAACTCAGAATTTGCAATTAAGAAATTTGCCACTTATGAGCGGCAACAAGCAACAAAGTTTTTTCCTTTATACAGATTAATTTACTGACCTTCCATATATCCAAACTAATATTAAAACATTTTGACAAGGTATACCACCCTGCACTTAAATAACATTTTTTAACTTCAAAAGAAGCTTGCAAGCATTATCCGCACCGTTTTTTTTTTCCTTCTAGATGTTTCAGTTGAGAGAGTTTAAGTGACTGCTCAAACTCAGCATACCTGGATCTGACATGAATTAACGGTGGAGTACAATATGTGACAAACACCCACAATCAGGGACCCAGGTCATTTATAGATAGGTAACTTAATGTTGCAGGATTCACTTTGTGAGTCATGTTAAGTGCCATTTCCTGTATTTTTTCCTGATATAAGTAATCTTAGTTATTAGAGATGAAGGAACTTTTGGGTGGGATGTAGGTATCTTTGGCACTAAATGGATCTGAAGTAAGCCAGATCTGTTGACCTTTGGGACAGGCTACAAAACCCATCTCTTCTCCCAGGCTGTTGCAGACGAAGGTGCATGCCATACAATGTTATTTGTATTCTCTTTTCAGTTGTTGTTTTTTTAGTTTTGTGAGGCCTGTGGAGTTTATTTTTGCTTGTACCAGTATGACAGCACATGCTAAAAATTCAAAAGGCACTGGAGCCCTGGATGGCAGCTTATGTATTAGTGGATTTACAAGAGTTTTAGAAAAAAATGCTAATTCAGTAAGCTAAGAAGTTGTTCAGTGACAACATAAGAGGACCTTTACATAAAGGTGCAGAGAAGCCCAGACAAGGTAGAGATTGATATGTGGGAGCTGCTGGGGAAGTGGAGGAGAATATCACAGTTGTGAAGTTTGATAGAGTTTGCCCCTTTCCCTCTTATTTTCTTCAAGTATTGGCATGCTGCAGGCATGTACACATGGCAGTAAAATTGGTGTGTACCCCATACAGCCCCACTGAGATCCCAGGGAAGTCAGTGAGATTGAACTGAATTTAAGGCAGCTCAGAATTTGGCTCCCATGGGGTGAATAAACATTACAGTACATTACGGGTGAGAATTTTGGTGTTTTAATTTATGCAACAGTATAATTTGTATAATAAAAATGAATGTTGCACTCAACATTGGACTGTATATCTGGATTGAAGCAAACAACTCAGAGTTTAGTGGAAGAATGCTGATTCGCTACAAGCATGCTTACCTAGTTTGTCAAAAATATTATTTATGTATTTCTCAGTGTTCAAGGAGGTCCAGTTTAGTGAAGTTAAACCAGGCTGAATAGCATCATCTACATTAGCTAAGTGAGGAGCCATTAGTTGATCAATGGGTGTTTGTATTTTTGATTTAATTCTCTTATATTCTGCCAGCATCACCTGAAATAAATGGAGGGTAATAACACTAATTAACAAGCACAATGCAAACCTTTTGCTATGCTGATATTTGCATCTAGTTACATTAAAAACAAAGTTCCACTCTTAATAAAAACCTGACTTTTCATGATTTTCCATTTTATAAAAAAGTATTTTGGAAACAATGAAACACTTGATTCTTTTCACATTGGCTTTAACTCTGTATTTTTAATGACCCTACTAATCCTTAAGAATCCTAAAGTCTCCTACAAAAAATACCACAAACACTTGATCACTGAAATGCACTGCCACCACTGCACAACATAATTGGAGCAATGGGAAGAGAAGAACTAACTTAAATGAAACTTTGAGGGGACCTCAGTGTCACTGTCTAATCAGAATTAGAATTCGGCTAGGATAACCAAATTAACATCCTTGCTGAAAACAAAATGTTATCTTGAACATATTGATCAGGGCCTCTTATATTTAATCTAGTAGACAGCACTTCCAACAGTGCCACTTAGTACAATGACAGGATATAAGTCCAGTTCTCAGAGCCTAGTACACCACATAGGGACAAGTTCTAAAAGGCACCCTTTAGCTTTGGGTACCCACCTTAACTCTCCTAAAGCCTAATTTTTCCACAGGTGAGTGAGTATCTGCAAACTAACCTAAAGCAATTGTAGTGCCAAGTGGATCCACACCTGTGAAATATTAGGTCTCAGATGACTCAAGCTGGGCATCCAAAATTTAAGGTTGCTTTTTTCAGTTTTTGGTCTCAGGCCGAGATGCTGCAGCCAAGTGAGGATGGGTGCAGCATTCTAACGCAGAGGAACAGTTTAACATGACCATACCAATGGATATCCTGAGTCAGACCAATGGTCCATCTAACCGAGTATCCTGTCTTCCAGCAGTGGTCAGTGCCAGATGTTTCAGAGGGAATCAATAGAACAGAGCAATTTTGACATGTGATCCAGTCCCAGCTTCTGGCAGCCAGAAGTTTATGGACACCCAGAGCACGGGGTTGCATCTCTGACCATCTGGGCTAATAGCCATTGATGGACCTATCCTTCATGAACTTATCTAATTCTTTTTTTATCCCAGTTATACTTTTGCCTTTCACTACATTTCCTGACAATGAGTTCCACGGGTTGACTGAGCATTGTGTGAAGAAGTACTTCCTTCCTTTAAATCTGCTGCCTATTAATTTCCTTGGGTGACCCCTAGTTCTTGTGTTATGCTAAGGGGTTAATAACACTTCCTTATTCACTTTCTCCACACTATTCATGATTTTATATACCTGTATCATATCCTCTCATCAGTCATCTCTTTGCTAAGCTGACCGGTCCCAGTCTTTTTAATCTCTCCTCATATGGAAGTTGTTCCATATCCCTAATCATTTTGTTGCCCTTCTCTGTACTTTTTCCAATTCTAATACATCTTTTTTGAGATGGTGTGACAGGGTGTGCATACCCCACACTAGCAAGAAAAGGTTAATCCCACCCTCAGATCGTGCTGGGCATGCTCCAACTGCTGTGCTAGTATAAAGGAGAACAGCTCAGCTCAGTCTGGGATGACTGCCAAAGAGGAAGGATGCTTGGTGGAGGCTCCACCCCAGGAGCCTCTACAGCCCTTGCCTCCAGGAGCCCGGAGATCCCGAGAACCAGACCGGAGACCTGTTGCCTACAGCTAACCAGCTGCAGTCAGAGTCTTAGGGAATTACCTGCACCAAAGAGCCCAAAGACACCAACGTCAAACAGTCCACGACTTCAGGAAACAGGGTAAGAAGTGTCCCAGGGAGGGGGAGCGAGTGAGTTGTAACCTCCTTAAAGCAGAGTCAGTGTGTTGCAGTAGGATCCTTGCTGACTGGGTGGTGGACACACTTGCCACTGGCAGGACCCTGGGCAGGGACCCAGTGAAGCAGGGAGGGCCCGGGTTCTCCTACCCCAGGTGTCACCTCCTCCGGGGGGCAATCCCTGACCCTGGCCACTAGGCCACGCAGCCCGGCACTCGAGGGCCACCACTTTGTTTTGGGCCACTAGGCCATGCAGCCCTGAACACCAGCATAGGCACTTTCACTCTGGCCATTGAGCCAAAGTATCTTGAATCCCAGGACAGTCTGGTAGACTGTAACTGCAGTGCCACCACACCCACGATCCACCCCAAAGGGGGACGGGATGTGCATACACTGCAACAGATGGGGTGACCAGAACAGCAAGCAGTATTCACGGTGTGGGTGTATCATGGATTTAGATCGTGGCATTATATTTTCTTTCTTATTATCTATCCCTTGCCTAATGGTGCCTAACATTCTGTTACTGTTTTTGACTGCTGCTGCACATTGAGCAGATGTCTTCAAAGAACTAGCCACAACAACTCCAAGATCTCTTTCTTGAGTGGTAACAGCTGATTTAAACCCATCATTTTGTATATATAGTGGAGATTATGTTTTCCAATGCTCATTACTTTGCACTTATCAACAATGAATTTCATCTGTCATTTTGTTCCCAGTCACACAGTTTTGTGAGATCCAGGGCCGGCTCCAGGGTTTGGGCCGCCCCAAGCAGCCAAAAAAAAAAAAAACAAAAAGCGCAATCTGCGGCGGCAATTCGGCGGGAGGTCCTTCGCTCCGAGCAGGAGTGAGGGGCCGTCCGCCGAATTGCCGCTGAATAGCTGGACGTGCCGCCCCCCCTCCGGAGTGGCTGCCCCAAGCACCTGCTTGCCAGGCTGGTGCCTGGAGCCAGCCCTGGTGAGATCCCTTTGTAACTATTCGCTGTCAGCTTTGGACTTAATTATTTTGAATAATTTTGTGTCAGCTGCAAATTTTGCCTCCTCACTCTTCATTCCCTTTTCCAGATCATTTATGAACGTGTTGAACAGCACAGGTCCCAGGGCAGATCCTGGGAGGCCGCATTATTTACCGCTCTCCATTGTGAAAACTTACCATTTATTCCTACCTTTGTTTCCCATCTTTTATCCAGTTACTGATCCCTGAGAGGACCCTCTCTCTTATCCCATGACTCCTTACTTTGCTTAAGAGCCTTTGATGAGGGACCTTGTCAAAGGCTATCTGAAAGTCCAAGTACACTATATGCACTGCATCACCCTGTGCACATGCTTGTTGACACTCTAAAGGAATCCTAATAGATAGGTGAGGCATGATTTCCCTTTACAAAAGCCATGTTGACTCTTCCCCCAACATATTGTGTTCATCGGGCTGCAGGACTAAAAATAGCAGTATCTGATAATTCTGTCCTTTACTATAGTTTCAACCAACTTGCCTGATACTGAAGTTAGGCTTAACAAGCTGTAATTGCCAGGATTATCTCTGGAGCCTTTTTGAAAAATCAGTGTTTGCTGTATTAAGTAGTTTGGACATTAAATGCTAAAAAGGTTGGTAAACTGTAAGAAGTAGGTTTAGTTTTGGTGGATCAGGGGGTCAAGTCTACATATGGATCTGATATTGGTGCTAAAGTCTTTTTTCTGCAATACCTTTTCATGGGACCTAAATGATAATACAAGTAAATTAGTAGTCAGAATTTTGAATATTTTTGAGACCCAAAGCCTAATTTTTTAAAGAAAGGCCATCTTTTAACAGCCCAGTCAAAAGACATCATATGAAGATATTCTGATAACTGGTGATGCAGTTTTAAGTTTAAAAGGAGTTAGCAGAATATGTTTTTAACAAATCTATGAATATACCTGGAAATCTGATATAAAGATATCCAGAGGCTACAAACATTTAGTTTGAAATATACTTGCTTCACTACTGTGTGATCTTACCACACACAACAGCATGACAAGATGCCACTGCCCACCACTGAAATGTATATATAAAGGAGGACAAAATTAGAAATGGCATTCTATAATCACCCTGGTTTGTAATAAGTCCAAACCAGTTGTTTAAATTGATAAGTGACCTAATCTGTTTGAGTTTCTTGAAATCCAAAAGTTTTGAGTACGAACCAATCTATAGGCCTCTTCCTGAACTCTCCATAGGTTTTACTCGCCAAGAGTGCCTTCTCAGCCATGCAAACATGACCCCGCTCAAGCTCTATTTCCAAGAAAGGGGCTCCTGCATTACCCAGAACACTGACTTCTCCTGTTTCCCAGCATGGTGAAACAAGAATGGTCAGAAACAGGCCTCCTTTCCTCTATTTTATTATACGGGCATCTCAGCAGAGTCACAGGGCTCTTTCTTGAAGTGGACCAGAGCACCTCCGCATCATTCTTTGAAATCAGCATATTAAGCCAATGAAGTTTTCCCCAGGACTTGCTTCCTCTCCTGAAACCCAGTCTATTAACAGTAGCTAAAAGTCAGCTTTGACCCTCTCTGCTCTGAGCCAGACCAATGGGTCTCTAGAAGAATGATGGAGATAAAAACAGTCTAGGTACAAACTTTTTACTGAAACCCCTTACTCACGCCCTAGTGACAACTGGCTCTCACAACCCAACCATAAAGTTTCAGAATATATTTTTGAAATTTGTCATAGTATGAAACATTTGACAGCTTCAAAAGTACTGCAAAAGCATCAAGCAATCATTACAGTGCCCGTATGAGAAAATAATTATTCCCTTACACATATGAAGAAAAGGAGCAACAAGAGGGGGGTGAGCTGAAGGAGATGAGTTCAAAAAGCTTATATTATATATTCGTATTGCAGTAGCACACAAAGACTCCAGTTAGGACTAGGTGCTATACAAAAAGGGTATGTCTACACTTCAATAAAAAACCCATGGCATTGAGTCTCAGAGCTCAGACTCGGGCTGCAGGACTAAAAATAGCAGTGTAAACATTGGGGCTCGGGCTGGAGCCTGGGCTCTGAGACCCTCCCTCCTCTCAGCCCTGTGAGCCAGGCCAGCTGCAGTCATGGCATGGGTCTTTTATTGCACTGTAGACATACCCAGAGAAAATGAGAATCCCTGACCCAAGAGCTTGCAGTAAAATCATGAGATTTCCATACCAGCCATCTTCCATCCTTGGTCACATTCTTTTGAGCCTAATGATTGCTGCTGGCTTGTATCACTGCTGATGGCAGCTAACTTCCCAAAAGGAAATTAAGAGACAAGGGGAGAAACCAAAACTCCATCTTCTCTCTACATCTTCTAGCACAGCAGGCCCAAAAAGTACACCAAGTGTAATGCTGGTGCAGCAGCTGCACTGCCTCGTTACTGGAGTCTTTGTGCCTATCCAAGGCACAATACTTTTAGGGGCAACTGCTGGGTCGGCATGCCTCATTGCTGTCCCCTACCCAGATTGTGCTCAAAGCTGAACCACAGTTGTGTTTGAGAAATGTCAACTGTTTTGCCTGAACTCATACAGCAATAAGGTTATATTACTTAGGAAGAGCTTCCACCCCTCCAAACTTCTAGACCTCAGTGCCTTCCTTCCACACTGCCATGCCTCCTAGAGGTTATGTTTAAGAACAAAGTCATAGTAGCACCTAAAAAATTGCATGAAAAAGATGGAGGTGAACTGTCAAGTCCTTTCCCCACCTTAATCACTTTCCTGGTGCATAGTAGTCTGAATTTGTTCATTTTCAATCTTTAAATAAGATAGTATTTTTATCTTTCATGAAATTATTGGAGCTTTCAATAGCTCTATGCAGATCTAAACGAATAAAATAAACCTACCTGCAGTTGATTGAAATTCTTCTTGTATGAGTCTTGCTTTTGCTGTAGAGCAATGGCGAAAGGCGGGATTTCAAGGTGCATGTGAGCCATGCACTCTGTTTCCCGAATTAAAGTCAATATCTGAGGGTCAAAATTCACAAATAATTCTCCTGTCTCTGGAGCCTTCACCAACAGGGATGCCTGAAGCCCTGTTTTCGTTACTTCAATCTGCAGGAAACAAGAAACAGTCTTGCCGAATAATCACAATCAAGTCAATACTATGCTCTGTATTTGGATTCAAATATACACATAGAGTCTGAATTACAAAAGTGCTAGTGGAAACAAATTAATTCTCAAATCTGATACAGTCTGAATCTAAGCTTAATATCACCTCCATGTAGATTAGAGTGAAAAACTGCCTTCCTGCCAAGCTAAGTAACTACCTAGATTTTCTTCTGAATTTTGGGCCTGTTGTAATAATTGGGCCTACAAGTTTACCTTAATTGTGAGCTCAAGTGTAAAAAGTGGGTAATGATGCATGAATTGTCACAATGACCTATTATATAAAATTGTTTCAAAAAAGGTAAAGAAACCCCAAAAAATTAAATTAATTTAAACAAGAAGGGCTTCACTAATACCTCTCAAGGACTGTTAAAATCATGCCTGGTGAACAAAAAAAGTTAAGGACCAAAAATGTATAAACAAAAACTGGTGTGTCAGAAATTAGGACTAATTAGTAACAAAACAGCAAGGAAATGGGCTATTCTACCTATCTCTCCTTTTTATGGTCATTTAAAAAAAAAACTTTGGGGGAAAAATTGGCTTCTGGAGCTAGCTTCACTATCATGGCTGCCACCCCCACTGTCTCCTGGGACCCCAGCGTTCATCATCCTGATACAAAGAAGTGTCCTGACCAACCTGGGCAAAAAAATAGGGGGGGAGGGAGCCCAGATGACATTGCCACCTCTTCTAGCTCCAGCTGAATCCCGAGCACCATCTGGGTTCTGAGACTTTGGGCTGGTCTACACCCAGCCGCTAGTTCGGCGGCTGGGGATCGAAGTTCTGGGTTCGACTTATCGCGTCTGGTCTGGACACGATAAGTCGAACCAGGAAGTGCTCGCCGTCGACTGCGGTACTCCAGCTCGGCGAGAGGAGTACCGCGGAGTCGACGGGGAGCCTGCCTGCCGCGTGTGGACCGCGTCTGAACCGCGGTAAGTTCGAACTAAGGTATGTCGACTTCAGCTACGTTATTCACGTAGCTGAAGTTGCGTACCTTAGTTCGACTTGGGGGGTTAGTGTAGACCAGGCCTTTATCTCCTCCCATCCTTTCCTTCTTTATTTCTTTTCTTTCCCATCTCTCTCCTTTTGCTTTCTGTTTAATAAGAGTCGGACTTAGCTGGCCAAAGCTATATATTTTGCAACACTGCTGTGAGCCTGCACACCTAAAAACAGTGCCCACCTAAACAGCCTGCTAACAAAACAATATGCTGTGCCTGTGTTTTCTCAGTAAGTTTACAAGTACTAGTCAACAAGAAAAAGACAGAGCTGCATTTTCTAGCTTGGCTATTCTTTTCTCTTCTCTTTTGTGCGTGTTTGTCTTTTTAGGAAATGGAATCCAAGTTTAGCAGCCACAATAACAGCTCCCACCCAGCTCAACTAACTTCTCTTTTCACCAAAAAGGACAGCTATTACCAGCTTTAATACAATCTAAAAAACTGTCAGACAAGGGGGTTTTCCTTCTAAAAATTCTCCAGCTAAAAAATGGAAACAAAAAGTGCAGTTAAAATAAAAGTCTTACTTAATACTTTAATAAGCCCTTCTCCCATCCCCTTCACCCCACCCCCACCCCCACCCCACCAGCGCTTCTTTTCTGTATCTTCAATAAGAGGTTTAAAAGCTTTTAATGGTGTGTTTGCTATGGTACTAAGCAGGCTAAGGTCTCTATATACCAAACTCCAAACCTTGTTTAAAACTGTTTAACATTCAACTGTAACTGGGTTATGTTAACACCTTTAGCTCTTTGGGAACCTTTATTCCACCTAAATTAATCAGGCAGGCAACGAACATGAAAATTAATGCAGCAACACAGATTGGAGCTATGAAGGAAGTAGTGTCACAAACAGAATGGAGAGCCTCCCAAGGCCATAGAAATGTAGGGCTGAAAAGGACTCTGAGAGATCACATCGTCCAGCCCCCTGCACTGATGCAAGATCAAGTATTCCTAGACCATCCCTGACAGGTGTTTGTCTAAACTGTTCCTAAAAACCTCCAGTGATAGAGATTCCACAACCCCTCTTCGAAGGCTTTTCCAATGCTTAACTACCCTTATTGTTGATTTCAGATAATTTTTCCAGTTTGTCATGGTCCTTTGGAAGTTTAATCCTGTTCTCCAGAGTGATTGCAACATCTCCCAGCTTGCTGTCATCCACAGGTTTTATAAAAAATACTCTCCATTTCATTATCCAAGTCACTATTGAAATGACTGAATAGTACTGGACTCTGGGCAGACCCTTGCAGGACCCCACTAGATTCGTCCTCCCAGTCTGGCAGCAAATCACTCAACTTTTTTTTGAATAATTTTTCAACAAGTTGCAAACCTACATTATAATAATTTCATCTAGGCCACATTTGCCTAGTCTATGAGAATGTCACATATAACAGTGTCAAAAGCCTTACTGAAATCAAGCTATATCATATCTTCTGCTTGCCCCTATTCACTAGTAACTGCATCAAAAAAGGAAATTAGGTTGGTTTGGCATGATTTGTTCTTGACAAATCCATGCTGGCTATTACTTATAACACTATTATCCTCTAGGTCAGGGGTCCAGCTCTGCATGTGGCTCTTTGGCTGCCCCCTTGCAGGCAGCCATTTTTTGAGGGGGTGCGAGGTGCAGGCTCTGGCCAGGAGGTGCTTACCACAGGTGGCTCCCGTCAGGCGGCACAGAAGGGCTCTGGCCCCACGCCAGAAGCTCTGGCCCCACGTCCCAGAAGCGGCTGGCTGCTGGTATGTCTCTGTGCGCCCCTTGGGGGAGTGGAGCAGCGGGTCTCCGTGCACTGCCCGCGCCCATAAGCAGCGCCCCCGCAGCTCCCATTAGCCGGTTTCCAGCCAATGGGAGCTTTGAGGACGGTGCTGGGAGTGGGGGCAGCGCGCAGAGCCACCTCCCCTCCCCTGCCAGTGGCTCGCAGAGACGTACCAGCAGCCAGCCGCTTCTGGGACCTTATCTGTGGTAAGTGCCTCCTTGCCAGAGCCTGCACCTCGCACCCCATCCCGTACCCCAACCCCCTTCCCCAGGTCAGAACCCCCTCCTGCACCCAAACTCCCTCCCTGACCCCACACCTCCTCCTGCACCCCAATCCCCTGCCCCAGCCCAGAGCCTGCTCCTGTTTATATTCAAATTCAAATGGCAGAAGTCACATTAAAAGTATTGGTGAGTAGTAATAACTTTAATATGTTCAATTATTATTAGTTGATAAATTCTAACTCTACAAGTAGCTTTGCATGTGATGCGGCTCTCAAAATATTTTGGTCAAAGACAAAAACAAAAAAATGGCTCTTCTTCTTTGAAAAGTTACCGACCCCTGCTCTAGATGCTTACAAATTTAATAAAATTTGAAAAAATGACAAATCTGTATTTTTAGTTATTTGGGGGTAAGTGGAACACAGCTTCTTGCCTTGTATTGGGAAATAATCCCAACCTGAACTACCTGCTGCTGCTATGTCTCAGCCATAACTATGCTGTTATATGTCCATTCCTCATTATTATCTCCCCCTTGATCATCATCAGTTCAAAAGTTGTAGATAATGGCTGCCTAAGCAATACTCTGCCATGTGATTTATCCCATGTTGGGCACAGTATTTTACTTTCCAATCAGATATGTAGGAGATCTTTTCACCATATTTCAAGAGCCAAAACACACTTATAGAGGCTGCTCAAACAGTGTCAGAAATTCAATGCAATGACACATTGAACACATCTGCAATAATTCATGATCTCAGGAAGCTGTCAAGTCATTTCACATCTTGCAAGTTCATTAATAATAATTCAGCTAATATGACTGTACATTACTCAAGATGTTACTGTTCCATAACATTCATTGTGCAAATAAGGCAGCACAACTTTCCCACAAAGAAATTCTGGAGTTCCCACATTTCTGTTAAGAGATTCATTATCCCCTCCACCATAGCTGGGGTGGTGCAATCCTTTTCCTCATGCATGTATTATGTTTTTCACTCAATTTTTTAAAACACTTCTCCATGAAGTATCCCTTACGCCTCTTCCCCTCCTGTACTAACATAAGCACACAAGCCCAGTATTGCTGCAAGCTTACTTTTAATGTCCAAACTCTTTCATCACCAATATATGTTGAACAGAACTAGACTGACACAACACTACAAGAGATCATGGTGGTAACTATCTTACTGTAGAAAGAGGGAGATGGACAAGATAACACTCTTTTAGCAAAAATTAGGCCAGGTCCCCACTAAGCCCCCACTTCGGACTAAGGTACGCAAATTCAGCTACGTTAATAACGTAGCTGAATTCGAAGTACCTTAGTCCGAACTTACCGCGGGTCCAGACGCTGCAGGAAGGCTCCCCCGTCGATGCCGCGTACTCCTCTCGCCGAGCTGGAGTACCGGCGTCGACGGCGAGCACTTCCGGGATCGATCCGGGATCGATTTATCGCGTCTAAACCAGACGCGATAAATCAATCCCAGAACATCGATTGCCTGCCGCCGGACCCTCCGGTAAGTGTAGACGTACCCTTAGAGACAGAAAAGATCTAGTTGGTGACTAACCTTTGGAATAGCCAATGTGGTCTATGCAAGGAGTTGCTAGCAGCACAGAGGAGGAGTGTTTCTGTTATGTTCCCAATAACTACTGGACAGGCCATCTGGAGACCAGGTACAGAAATCAACTCTAGAGCTCTCATGGTAGGATGTAATGGTAAAGACAAGTCCCTCCAGTATCTCTAAAGCTTTGCAACATGTCAGCCAGGCCACATGAGTTTCAAGCTGATGGTAACATAATAAGTCATTCAGCAGTCACTGAAGAGCAGTGACTATTTCTAAGGGTCCATCAAATCCCTATTTCTATAAAGGAAAATCATACCTTGTCAAGTGGGTGTACTAAGAAGAGAGCATGTAGGAAGCTTTTATCGTCACGAGTGCTCCTACAGCAGCAAAGAAGGAGCTTAGCCTTGTTCTCAAGCACTGAGATGGCAGTCTAGTCCATATCCATCCACCCTCTGTGGCTTCAAACAAGTATGATCTGCCAGCCCCCTAATGCTGCTATGAACAGTAAGGATAGAATTTGCCTGTAGTGCATAGTATGCTGCCTGAACTAGGGACACGTTTCATTTTGAGCTAGGCACTTCAACAGGAAAGTTGGCCAGATTCTCTTCAGAAAACAATCTGTGGGACACAGCAGAGTATGAGGGCCTGCAAAGGAGCCTGTTACAGAGCCTTGATTATGGTTTAAGTTCTATGCCGGCCCCATCCCATGACACTTTAAAGCAGCATAGAAAGTGCTCTAAAGTTGAGCTGTTGGCCATGACCTCCAAGAGGCCATCTGCCAGTGGAAAATAGCCAAAGCACAGTAACACTCTGGTCATTCCCGCTCCCACCCAATTTTTACCCCCGTGCTGGGAGCTGCAGGAGAAGGTATAGTAGCTAGCTATACCAGTACTCTGCTAGTTAGGGACTTCTTATACCATGGCAATCCACTTATCCCATGTTTATACAGCATCTAACACCGTGGGTCCCTAGGCATTAATACAGCAGCAAAAATACTAAAAACAATTCAACTTTCACAGTCACAGCAGCAAGTGAAACATTTTACCTGCTGAAGCCATCCCCTGTGATAAATAACCTCAAACTCCAAGAGGACTTTTGCCACTTTGTTGTAGTTGCGAACTATGCGCTTGGCTTCTCCTGTCTGCAGAACAGTGGGATGCTGTTGGAAGAGGTCCATTGGTTCCTGGATCCTGTGGAAGAGTTGGCGTGCCCACAAGATCTTACCAGCTATTGGTGGCAGGTTACGAGCCAAAGGAGGGTCATTTTTCTGCTTAGTGTACAGCTTAGAGACCATCTCAATGTCATGACCATAGTTCTGAAGGATTTTCTGGTATTTTTCATCAATGCCAAGATTGGGGGTTTCTAATTTGAAAAAAAAAAAAAACAAGGATGATCATTGGAAAATTTGCCACAAGACTTCAGTGATTAGGGGGCTCTTCTAGTTTTGAGTTTGAATGTACAATCATTTTTACACACTTTTGTATGCTCTGTGGAGAACAAATGCATTCTCAGCCTGACATTCAGCAACACCTTCCAAAATACATCCCTACAACCAGAAACTAGGCCAGGTTTAGACAGTGTAACAGAAAGTGTTTCTAAATAAGCCTAGAAATATCCCTCTATCACCCATATAAAGGGAATCTCACTAGTGCTAACTTCGAGTGTAACCTCACATGGTTTTCAACAAGTAGTAACACAACCCTGAACCCACCAATGGCATGAAATACAGGAACTCAGTTATACAGAATAGGGCAGAAGAATTGTGACAGTACAGACTGAGCTTGCCCTTCATTCTGCCATTTTAATGATTGAAAGCAGTACTGCTAGCCCATCTTCAGCTATTGATACCACAGCAAACCATGGCAATGCGACATTGTATGTCAAGATGCAGCATGCTCAATGACGACAAATAGATTTCAATATCCAAAAGAGAACCTTCAGCCCACATGCAGAGAGTCAGTTCCTGTGCTATATTTCAATCGTAAAGACAGATAAAAATAAATAGACTTTGGATACTGCATTAGAGATACAGAACAACAAAAATTGAGTGATTTTTCTTTCCAGTGTCTATCTATAATCAATGTAGAAGTTAAATATGCTTGACCCTAAAAAGCTTAAGAAATTATTCAAGAACCATTATCCTTACATAAAGTTTACACTGTCATCTAAGGTCAGTAAGATCAGGTGATCTCACAAATGTGGTGGCCATGCAACTGCCCAGAAATAAATTCTACTTATGCAGACTGTCAGAAGTGTTCAGCTTTTCTTTTAAAGCAATCTAAGTAGAGTCTTTCTTTTTATCAGAATTGGTGAAAAGACATACTTAAAATGATTACTCGAGTATCAATGTATGTCCAACAAGAACAAAAGCATTTTATAGCCAATTTCTTCATTTTTTTCTTTGTCAAAAGAGGTTATATTTGACCTAATGTGCAGAAAACTGCTATGCTGCTCTAGGGCATACTAGATATATTTATAAATATCCCTTTACCTTTCGAATTTCTTCAGCATACTAAGAGCTCTTTCAGTGGTTGGAATCCTTTCAAAGGTGATGTCCATAAAGGTCTTTAACTGATTCTGGAGAAGGAAAACGGTTATACTGAGGAGAGCTCTATGGAGTGCACATATTAAATATACAAAGTACTATTTGTCAGTGTGTTTATCATATACTGTACATGAACACAAACTACTTACTTGATAACAGCTGCAGTTATCCTACTTTGGATGTTGTGTGAAAAGAAAATAGCAGAAAAGCAATCTACCTCTCCAGTTCTCTCTGTAGCTACAGAGAACACAGAAGCTCTTGTATTCTCAGCTGTTCAACCACGTCAACAACTATAATCTGAGGGAATGCTTTCCTTCTCCAAGGCAGCCAAATCAAGCTCTTACACGGATATTGGCTTAGTATAGCAACCTAGTTCTCCCATCAGCTTTACATGGCTCCAGTGGTTAGTGTTTACAGTTTGCCCCCTAAGAGTCTGCATTTGGGGATTAGGGTAGAAACTTCTCCCTTGGGAGAAATGGGTGCTTAAGTTCTATAAAAGTGAACATCCTCTATTATTCCCTGCACTGGAATACTATGCGTGTGCTGGCCTTTATGCACCAGGCTGGTTTTACTAGGAGACAGTTAAATGCAACGTGTAGCCCCTTTAAACAGTCTCAAGAGGTAAGCACTCCCAAATGCTGTATCAATCTCAGGATGGATAGGAAGTATTAATCCACTAAGGTGCTGTGTGATATTGGAGTGGTATTAGATTTATGATTCATTCTAAATGGAAATTTGTATTTTTGATCCATGAGCAAAAGCACTCCAAGTGCTCCAGCCATTAAATCAGAGCATGCATACACACGTTGATATTGTCTCAAATGGACACTTTTCCCCCTTTTGGCATTGCAATCAATTAACAGTAGTAAGCCTAGCCAAAAAAATAATAATCACCAAGCGCTTAATTATGCAACCTACATGAAGGTCACTGGTTTGTTTGCAAAACTCTTCATAGTCCTGGTCAAAATCAGTCTTTCGTTGATCTAAGAAGTTGTACTCCTTTTTCTTCATGGTGGCAACAATGCTCTAAACAATTTTTGAAAGAAAACAAAATATCAGAATACAGTTGCCTTATCAAGCAACCTGTCATGTTCAGTTACTTACATCTGTTGGGTTTACAAGGTTGTGTTCTGTGTTTTCTACTACAGATATTAAAATCTCCATTTTTCAAATGCATAAACAAAACAATCTGAGTGATAGATAAGGAAAAAATTACAACACAGTCCACAGCAGTTGCACTTTAAAACACTCCCATCTATTGTAAGTTTTACTGTAGAAACTGATAGAAAATTCAAACCCTAGTGATTTTCTCATTTAAACATATTTGTTACCCATAAATAATTTTTTTCACATACAAGTGTGCAACACTTCCATATAATACACTCTGGTGCAAAGTAGTAGTATATCAGACAAAGCAAACAAAAGTTCACGTTAAATTTCTAACGAAAACACACTATTAATAGTATTCTCCTTTAATTGATGTATTCTGTGAGGAAAAGAGGAATATTCAGAATCACATTCCACTGCAGGAACAGCCCTAGCATTTGTTACTTGCCCTCTGTTCCAGCATTGCTGCAGTTTGCACAAATGGAAGCACAGATTGGTTGGCTCCCCGACACCAGTAGCCAATAATACTGTTAAAAGTTGGGTTTACTCCTGCTGATCAGCCACAGTTCAGCATGCTAGCTGCTTGTCATGCTCCACTTATCATTTAAGTCCAGACCCATATTTTTCATTGGCATAGATGGATTCACCATTGTGAAGACATTTTAATCTAAACCTACTGATTTTTTTTACCCTTGTTATAATAATTTCTTCCATGAACAAAGTAAACCTAAGATAGCAACTAAATGACAGAAGATTACATGTGTTCATACTGTTCTATTCAACTGGTAAATGAACTCCAGAACCCTTTACTTGTCAAGTGTTTCAGCCAACCACAAGACAGTGGATACCTATGACACTGCCACATAGTTCAGTAATTTAAATAAGGCTACTACCATTCAATAGCAGCATGGCCTCATAATGACCTTCAGGCCTTTTTTTAATTGGCCTTTGATTTTTACCATCAACAGCATGATATGTATTATTTCAGAATGAAGCATAAATTTTCTCCCCCTGAACAGAGGGCTGCATAAAGCTCTTAACACAGGGCTTCAGTGGTGCAATGGCTCTTGAGTGTGTCCATGGAGTTTTACCCTAATATCATTATCAAGACAATTCTTTACTGGCAACTCATCTTAAGGCACAGCTGTAGCAGTGAAACATCAGCACCAGACAACCTAAATAGGTGACCTCCCATCACAATGTTCAAATACCATGAATTTTATTTTTATACTGATAGAATCATGACATTGTGCACTTGACTGTGAAAGGAATAATGAGGAATCCATGTATCTCTGCCCTAACCTCTTGCATTTATCCATGTTTTGCATATTTTGCCTATTTCACCCCAACCTTTCTTGCTTATACTCCCTCCTTCTTTGCACATTTATCCCTCCCTCTAAACCTTTGATGGAAAATGCTTATTTAACAGCAATTATATTGACTATAAAAGTCTTGTGCATTCAAGTAGATTCAACAATATACATCTCTGATAACGGACTAGTACCCAGTAAGATTAGTACAGCCTATTTTTAAAATTTCTCCGTAGTCTGTCATCATGTTGTTTTAATTCCAACTCTGCCTAATGGTGTGAGAGGGCAAGATTTGCTTGGTGTGTACCTGATATTTTGTTGCCATAACTTCCAATCCTTCAATCTTTGATTCTTCCAGAACTAAGTAGGTTGTAATGGTACTGAAGACATGTATAATTTTAACTAGACGTCGATGAAATGTTTCAAATTTTCCAAAGATATACATCTCACTAAAATCAAACTGTCTTTCAGCTGGATTTTGTTCTAGTTTTTCTTTTGTCTTGTGAAAACAATTTTGATACTCCTTGGAAACAACAAAATTGAATAAACATGACAGACATCATAAACATTTCATTTTCATAATCTAGAATAGAATTATCTAGACAGTCACCATCTCTAATCAACTTGGGGTGGGGGGTAAATTTGATCAAGTAATCACCTGTCTACACTACACCAAGTCTTTAGTGCAGTTCTTCTCTGAAAAATTAGGTTGAGAAATGGCATCATGGGATTCCACATTCATTATGTCTTCATATTTGCATATTCAGTTTGCTTATCACATTCTTAGCTACATCAAAACAACCCTATTGCCTTCAATGGCACTATACAAGTGAACTCAAAAGTGGGAATTTAATTAACATGTAAAAAAAGAACCCAATTCACTTTCCCTTAGTTGGACAGTAGTTAGAACAAGGTTTATCATTAAGGGCAGATATGACTGAGTACAAACCAAATAGTTCTGCTGAGTAACAGTGTCTTCAGTTTTCCCAAATCATTTCCTACAGTAAAGCACTGCATAAGTTAGAGTGCAGCTCTGTTGCAACAAAAATACTTATTGTGGCTTGTATGGACTGCACCAAACCTTACTATAATCAAGTTAAAAAAAATGTTCTGTCAAGGGTCAAACTATGAACAATTTAATAACACCGGTACATAGTTTCTCTCACAGGTAGCCCCATTTAACTTGCATACAATTACTCTCGTCTGAAGGACTACTGAAGAGCCAGGATTTTCATAAGTGCTTAGTAATTCTGGGTGTTGAACCTGTAACACTTTAAACCATTTTCTAAGCTTGGATGCTGAGAACTTCTTGAAAATCTACCCCCTTTACAGTGTTTTAAGTTCAGCACCCAGAATCACTAGTCACTTTTGAAAATCCTGGCCCAGATTGCTTGCTTGCTTGCCCCTGACAATAAGAGATTCATAATCTATCCCTACATTCATGAATCAGACTTCAGTTCCAAGCCAGTGCTTCTCAATATGCAATATTCCATCTTTAACCCAAGTACAGACCTAGACTTAAGTGTATGTAACTCAACTCTCTTTTTTTAAGATTAATCCCTAAAAGCATCTTCAATATGTAAATGAAAAATATTTAATTTAGATATTAAGGTTTGGATTTTTTGCAAAGGGGCTCGAAGGAGTTGGTTGCCAAATTCCAATAGGCTTTTTTGAAAAATCCCCACCTTAGCCTATAGGCAGTATGCAAATCTCCAGTGTGCGCTCTGGTTAAGTTCAACAGCTCCTCCAAGTTTCTACGTTGCCATGTATTCACTCTAACAATCCCCACCACCTCCTTGCCATGACTACCATCTTTCTGGAGAAACTCAGAGGGCAAGAAAAATCCCAAATATTGCAGTGTTAAAAATGTCTATGTTGAAATTTTTACTCTAAGATTTTAAATGCCTACGTGATTTAGGAGCCCAAATTCCATTTTCAAACGTCACTTAGGTATTTCAAAAGTTTACCCATAATCTCTTCTGGAGCTAATTAGGTGTTGAGGAATGTTTCCTTCCTGCTTTCATTATTCTTTCTAGTTATACTGACCAACATGCACCGGCCTGGGTGCCTAGAGCTAACCTCATATTTAAGCACCCAAATGAAAGCTTATATTTAGGTAACTAGGTATGGAATTTGTAGTGCAACTTTAGGATTGCAAATTTTATCCATTGAAGATATGCCACCAGATTCTAATTATAATTATCCCAGGTTAAATCCTTAACTGAACTTCAATTAAGGAAATGGAGTTACACCAGATTTTTCCCGGGGAAAGTGAGATCATAGTTTGGCCCACTGTTTTACTAGAGAACTGTCTTTCACTTTTCTGTATGCAATGAATTCTTTAATGTCAGTCAATGTTAGACAAAGACAGAGAACACACCACAAATACCAACAAGACTAAGGCAGTTGGAAACATCTGTAAGAATCTATGTAAACTTCAATATAGGATTCTTTCTGAAGAAAAGTATTTAGTATTGAATGACTCTAAAGTAGTTAGTGCATTTGGAGAGAGACTTTAAAAGAGGCTCTGTAACCAGGACTCAGAATATGATGACAAAGGAAAATACTGCCAGAGCATGAACTCACTACATGCAACTTCAGGGCTAGAATAGGTGCAAGGAAAGGGATGTAGAGAAGAGGACCCAAGACGCCTTGGCCACTTTTGCATACTTGATTAAGAAGCAGACAGTCTTTATGCACCAAGAATGAAAGGAGTCAGTCAGTCCCCAGACTGCATGGGAGAACATGTCCCCACCTGTCCTTCTACACCAGCAGTCAGACAAGGGAGTGGGGTGGAGATCTCGCAAGTAGACTATGAAGGCTAAGTGGACCAACATCATCCAGTGGATGTATTTTGCCTGCAGAACACAGGGCAGAAGACTCTAGCAATAGAACACTGAGGCACTCTCCCACTCCTTCAGTCCCAGGAGAAAATCCAGTCCTGAGGCCACACATTCTTTGCACTTTCATTTATCACACACTGAGCTTTAAGGTTACCTGTTTAAGTCTAATAGCTGCTTGCAGCTTCTCCATAACTATCTCCTGAGGCTGGTCCCAGATGGTGGCAGTCTTGTTGTTAGTTATGTAAGCTTTACATGCTGTTATCATCTGATTTGTTACCTAAGGATAAAATTAATTTCTAGTCTTATGAATAGGTCAGATTTAACATGCTTTGTTTTCATTTCATTTTATGTCCCCCATTTACTCGCTACTGGCCGACTGCACATGAAGTGCCAAAGCTTCCAGCCAGGTGTATAGACAAATGGTTTCACCTCCAATGGCCAATCTCAATTCTATTCCCCAACCAAAATGTTGCTGATCAAATCACTGCACAAGAGATGGGATAGTCTAGAACTTTAAATGTGCCAAACGAGGTTGAGGTGACAAAGCGCTTTTGCACCTTGTGAGTCAAGTATAACTAGTTATGTCCCAGATGACTGCACTAGGAGGGAATAAATTAGAGGTATTCTTAAATTGAACTCCTATTTTCATGCAGGAATGAAGAGTGATAGTTAAGAAATGAGCTAAGTTAGTAAAACTGTTTGTATACAGAGTGCAAAATTCACAATTGGCATAAGCAGCTATAACTCTGTAGAAATCAATGCAATCACACCTGCTTATGGCCACAGTAAGTTTAGCCCAGGTTGTCTTTTAAGGATTCTCCCCAAGGACTCAGTAGGTTTTTAAACACTTGTCATGGTTACTTGCATCATTTAAAAGACTTCACTCTAGATTCTTTTGATCAGCATTTTAATGTAGTCTACATTCAAAGGAGAGTCAAGAATTCTACACGTTGAGACAAAGGTGGTCTCACTAAATTTCCAAGATTCCTTTGTGTTAGTCTCCCCATGGGATCTTTTAATTAAAAGTCAGCTAACTGTTTTGTACAGAAAGTGATATTGACACAAAGAGAGTATGTTGTATGCACCTACCTTCACAAACAGTGAGGTTATCTTCTCAGAGGTATTGTAGTAACGTGAGATGCTGTGAATCATTTTTATTGCATTTATGAGACCTGGAATAGCATCTACCATGGACACCTAAAAGGAAACACCATTCGTTTCTCAGTGAAATTCACCACTGCCTTGTATCTTGTATGATTTACAAATATGCAGAGAGGGTACAAAGTGTCACCTTTCTAATTTGACAGTCTCTTTTCTACTGTGCATTCCCTTTACTGCATTAGGTGACCTATCTGATAGCCCAACTACTGTGATTAATTTGTCTGATTATTTTGAGAAAAATCTTGCAATTCAGGCTCAGACAACAGAGATGCAAAATGGAATCTAGAAGGGGCAAATAACTAGGGCCTTGTCTACACAATCTTCCACTGATTTAACTATCCAGTGTTGTTGTAGCCGTGTTGGTCCCACGATATTAGAGAGATAAGGTGGGTGCGGTAATATCTTTTATTGGTCCAACTTGTGTTGGTGAGAGAGACAATCGTTCAAGCTTACACACAGCTCTTCTTCAGTTGTTCTTGGCACATTCAGGCACTTAGAAGCCTAAATCCCACTAACAGTAATTGGGATTTTGCCTCCTAAGTGTCTAAATCAGATAGGTGTTGCAACGCTGAGCACTGCAATGCCTCAATATCTTTACAAATCTGGGCCATGGTCTTTGACCAGATAAGTTATAATGAGGAAAAAATAAGCCGTCTCTGCGTAGCTTCAGCACAGCTCTAAACTCCCAAAATTTATATTGAAATTAGTAAAAAAAAGAGTCAGCACTGCATGTCCTTGGATGTCACAGAAACCGGAGCATTTGTTAGATCTGGCCTGGTATCCCTGAAGAGGGAACACTCATTACTAAGTAATTTGTTTTTCAATGACAGTATACTATAAACCTGTTTTGAGAACTTGGAACTAGATGCAGGGATTCTTCGGATGCAACGTAATGTTACATGACTTTCAAACTGGCAGTGAAACCTAAGAAATGGAAATTTGCTTGCAGTTCAGTTGCTATATGGAATCTTATCTTTTCATTCAGGGAGTCAAAAGTTGTACTTACAGGGTCACTGTTGTATAGGGGGTCACAGCATTTTTCCAGAGTGTAGAGATACTTAACATTGTCTTTGGCTTCATTAGCTGCATCAGTGATGCGAGTATCCAGCTCTCGCCAGCTCTAAAAGTAAGAAGTAAAAACCAAAAATAATTATTTTAAGAAAAATTGAAATGTCAAAGATATTGTACCAGGTGAGGATCTGGCCCTCTGTATCATATCAATAATTTAATTACAACGTACAGCAACAGATACGTAACAAAGCACAATAGAATGTAGTTAGTATTATAGAGTCTATTTTCCATTAGATGCCTATGTATATAATACCCATTAAAGTTACATTCATTGATCCAGAGAACAGGATTCCCACTATGCGTAGGTATGGCTACGTCTACACTACACACCACTTTCAGCAGCATGCAGAGTACATGCAGCTACACACTGCAGTGGAAAGCAGGCTGAGTCCACACTGTGGTGTGTAGCTACATGTGTCAGGGAAAGGCTCTAGCAGTGGAGAGGGAGCAAAGAAAGATTTCAGCAGCATCCTACTTTTGGAGCCTTCCTCCACTGCCAGAACCTTTCTGTGCAGCTTGGGAAGACTCCAGCAGCAGGGAGCTGGCAGAACCTTTCCCCACTGCCTCTTCCCACCAGCACCTTTCCCTGCTGCAGGGAAAGGCTCCTGCAGTGGGACATTACACTACTAAAAATAGAAGTGTAGATGGGGAGGTGCTGCTTGGACATGCAGAGAGCCGCATAGGGTATATACCACCTAAGCAATGCCTCATGGGCTACACTGATACTTACATCCATTCCAGGGGTGCTACCTGTGTTCAGACTCTACACACCACTGAAAGGAGTGTGCAGCATAGAGGTACCTTATCCGTTTGGTGGAGTTCCCAATTCAGCATCTAACTTATCTTCACTTCCATTACACCTCAACCAGACAGGTGACACAATAACATTCGAACAGCAAGTGGCAGTGCCAGGGCATATTTTATACACTATCTTCTATGTACGTATCATGTGATGCCATGAGGGAATGAACTTGCATCACTCTCACCAAGACAGGAGAAATTCTAAAGGCAAAAGGATTTTTTCTTTTTTTTTTTGAGTTGGGGAATACTTAGTTAACGTTTCCCTCAAGAATAGTGGTAAATCCACCCAGATCCCTCAGCAATGCATGGGAGCCCTGAATTCCAAGAACTTGCAGAAGCTGCTACTGCTTACAGGTTATGGGCCTGTGGAAAAAACAAAGCACAAGAGAGGGAAGTGATGACCAGCATATGGTAGGGAAAACTACTTTATCTTTTCCCTCATTGCAAAAAATGCCTGATGCTAGGGAACTGGCTGGTAGCATATTTGAAATTAATAATCTGCCATCAACACCTGAAGTGGCTACTGGAGCAGCACACTTAGATCAGCTGCTGCCAACACAGGGATGTAGTGAATGGTAAAATAAACCTCTTATTGCTGATCGCAAGTGCAAGTTGGAGAGCAGCACATGGGTGGGAAGGATAGACACTGGAAGCGAATGAGGTGGAGTTATCAGCAGAGGCAGATTAAGGTTTCCTGGTGCCCTGGGCCAGAGAAAGTGTGGGGGCCTTCCCCAGGCCTTCCCCCTGCAGTCCCGCCCCCACCCTGCCGCTTCTGCCTGTGGCCCCGCCCACAGCCCCACCCCTTTCTGTCCCTTCCCCCCTCAGTCTCACCCCATTCCACCACCCCGCACTGCGGCTCCGCAACCCGTTTGTTCCTTTCTGCCCCCCCTCCCCACTACAGCCCCAAGACTGGAGAAGCTCTGTCCCCACCCCGCAGCCCTGGGGCCACAGTAAGGAGTGAGAGCTCCCCCAGCCCTGAGGCTGCAGGAGGGAGCAAGAGCTCCTCCAGTCCCAGGGATGCAGCCGGGGTCCGGGTGTGGAGCTTCCCCCATCACCCTGTGCTTCTGTGGGAGCCTAGGGTCAGGGTGCGGTGGTTTCTCCCACCCGGCACGTCTGTCAGGGACCGGAGTCAGGATGCGGGGGCTTCCCCCTTCCCCTCCCCCCCCCCGGCTTGTGCTTCTGCCAGGGCTCCAGGCTTCCACCACCCCACAGCGGATTTGTGCTGGGGGCAGGGCCCCCATTTTTATGGGAGCCCCCAAATTGGCCAGGGCTCCTGGGCTCAGGCCCCATCAGCCCATTGGATAATCCACCACTGGCTATCAGGAACTGGGCTGAGAGGAAGCAAAGTGACACATGATAAAATGGATGTTTTGGATAGGTGGTAAAAGGAAGAGCATTTGGGAAGAGTGACACTTGAGGAGGCTCTCCTGCTTTAAATTTGTGCTTGGGAGTCCATGACTATTAAGCCAATTCCTCTACCTGATAGATTTCTGAAGCCATTAGCTATGTGCATCTTATATAGATAAACAGAAATGCCATCGAGTGGAATGTAAGGAATTGTTTTGCTTGGCCACAAATATGGGGACTATCAATTTTATTTTCTTTAGCTACCTGCCTGTTCATTCTAATCTGTTTTATGTCATACCAACTTTTCACTGAAAAAGCTTTTACTATTAAATACTGATTTGTGATATGCTCCGGAGATGCAGGCCAGTGCTTTATCACCTAATAATAAATATTATATCAAATCTCAGTCTTTTCTTCAGTCCCAGTTTAGTGTGTTGAACTTCAAAAACTATAAGGGGCAATAAAAAGAGTATATAACATCAGGATTTTGTCCATTAAATATACTGTATATCCTGGGAAACTAATGCTGTATGTAACCTATTTTCAGTCTTTAGTTCTGTCTTAAGTTAACAGAAACCTTCAGAAGTCTGGATTTAGCAGCAGCAAGTACTCCCAGCACCGCCTTCACATCTGGGCTCTTCAGTTGGTCCAAAAGGTAGTTGAATTTAGACAATCGTTTCTTCCAGTGATCCAGTTCTGCTCGTGGGCCCAGGTCATCAGCTTCTTTCCTCAGTTGATCATTTTCAGCCAGGACCTTGAACCACACAGCAATATATCAGTGACTGATACAGAAGTGCTGCTATTTATCTGAATGGATGGCAGCGATCTGAAGTCTCCTATTATTACTGACATTCACCCAGGGCCAGCTCCAGGGTTTTGGCCGCCCCAAGCAGCCAAAAAAAAAAAAAAAAAAGCCGCGATCGCGAGCGGGAGTGAGGGACCGTCCGCCGAATTGCCGCCGAATAGCTGGACCTGCCGCCCCTCTCCGGAGCAGCCGCTCCAAGCACCTGCTTGCCAGGCTGGTGCCTGGAGCCGGCCCTGCATTCACCTCCTGTTAGCAGTGTTGTTGTACACGCAGTTTTCTATGGTGGTCCCAAGATATTAGCGAGATAAGGTGGGTGAGGTAATATCTTTTATCGGACCGACTTCTGTCAGTGAAAGAACTGACAAAGAGCTCTCTGTGTAGCACAAGCACTTGTCTCTTTCATCAACAGAAGTTGGTCTGATAAAAGATATTACCTCACGCACATTGCCTCTCAATTATCCTCCTGTGACTAGTTAGGAGCTAGGCTCCTCCCCACCCCCCCTTCTTAAAAAGCCAAACTGACTCAATTTTGCTTAAGACTGTAAATTTGAGTAGACAATGGGTATTTCTTCAAAAAGCCAATGTAAAAAAATCAAATTAACATATTAAGACTTGGATAGCTAGCAACAGTGTAACCTTAAGTCTACCTTAGGTCAAACATTTACCTTAACACACTGAGTTCGTTACTTCCACTTTGTTTCATCACTGATTATGACAAAGCTTCTACAAAGAGCATAATATTCTGATAAATCAATGAGAGAGGTTTAATAACCAAGTCTATTTGGCACAGGATAGGTGAGGGAAGGAAGCTAATAGCATTTCCACTCCTTTACAGCCCATGACTATGTTGTGAAGTGCGTTCTCCTCTATAGTCTTCATTGCAACTGCAGTACATCAAACTCCCAAAATGAAGTGATGCTATTAACAATATTAAACTGTTAGCTTACGTAAGTTAGTGCTTTTTAGTATTAACTCCCCACAGTCTATAATCGAGTCCCAAGAACAGCACGCTTAGACCTCTCTAATTTACATAGATTTTTACATCACTCACCACAGTGATATTTGAGTGCCTTAGGCTAAAATCTGCTTGTTGTACTAAGTATATAGTAGTGACAGCTTTAATGAGCATATTTTCCTTTTAGCAGTGTGTGTGCAGTACTAAAATGAGATTTTACAATCTTTTGGCAAAAGGAAAATACCCTGAAATGTTGCCAGCTCTCCTTACTGCGCACCTACATCAAGATCCTTGCATTTCCTTCCTCCCCCAGGAGATCATGGCTTTTTTTTTTTTTTTAATTAAGGCCGCCAGAAGTCAATGCTGGTTTCTTTGTGATTTTGTATTTCATCATTTAGGAGGTCTGAGATGCAAGAATTAATTTCTAAGAACAGAAAATCAGTAAGACTTAACATAAGACACATTTTATTTCTCATACTAAATAAAATTGCAGTCTGCATATATGTACATTACAGAGCCCTGTTTTCAATTGACTTATATAATTTAACCCTAGACAATATACTTTGAGCTACAACACAGATTCACAGTTTGGGAATAAATGCATTTTTTTTTAATCAATTTGGTAGTTTGACTTGGTGCTTGTCTACACGAACACTTAGTTTGCAGCAAGCTGAGATGTAAAGCTTCCCCATACTATTATGCCATGCACTAAGTGTCTGGTATGGCAGCAGGTTCATTACAGAGTTCCCTAGGGCATTTTTGATCTATCCGGCTTTGAAACAGGAGTAGGCCAGTGTGCACTATTGAAATTTTAGTGTGCAGAAGCAGAATCCCCCCCATAAACTAAGTGTTCATGTGGATACAAGCCCTTATCCAAGGGCACAGAATATAGTAATTAATATTCAGCAGAATATAGCTTTTAAAAACACAATACTACCAAAGGATAACAATACAAAATAATCAACCAGTAGTTCATAAAGGATTCGCTCATTATGTTTGTGCCAAAAACAGATACAATAGATGTATATGTATCATAGGGCTATTTTGGAGTGGAGAAGTTGAACAAGTGCTGTGCTTTACAAATAAGATCAATCCTTTAATGACAGCAAGGAAGCTTAACTGTGAGCATGATGGCTAGCATATACTGTATGCATTTATTTACCAGTTTCAGATGGGTTGGAGCTCTGTATAGCATACTGAGTAGAGAATTAAGGGCATATGTGGCCACATTAGTAAATACTACTTCTTTCTACCAGTTCTGGGCTTAATGCCACTTGTGTAAACAGGACTAATTCAAGTTTCACTGACATTCGTGTCAGAACAGTTGGCAATGTTTCAGGTCTGTGCAGCGCATCACCTGTTCAATTTGTTTGATCCATACTTTCATGCAGGCCTCTATTCTTTCTAGAGCTTCTGTGCTGTTAGCAACAGCCAGATAGTCTGAAGGTCCCTTTAGAGTTTTCAAGTCATATGTGTCACACTTTTTCAGATTCACCTAAAAGAGGAAGAATTAAAAATTCAATAGAGACAGTGAGGACAGATACCTCAGGAGTTACCATTCCGTTTGAAAAATTATTGCTGTGCCCTCTTGAAGAGAAGCCTGCTTTACATACCCACAGTTACTTTGAAGTTACACCATTGGTCCTCCTGACACCCTAAACCAACAGGCCAAATTTCAGTAAGTTACTGTTAACAATCTGCATGTCACGACTGGAATGTGGGCATTCAGACCCAGTGGTCAGAGCAGGAGTCGGGCCAGGTCGGGTACTGGAAGGCCAGAGTCCAAAACAGGCCAGTGGCCAAACCATGAGTCAGGTGTCAGGAGAAAGGCAAAGTTGGAAACCAGAGTCTGGGGTCTCTAACACACGGTGTCTGAAGCAGGGACAGCAAGCAGTTTGTGTTGTTGCTCAGACAACTCCCTGTCATGGCTTAAATACTGGTGCCAGCAAATCAGTGGGCTGGGAGAAGCTGCCACTCAGGTCCTGCTGGGTGGTACTTCCTGCTGAGTCCAGCCTCTCAGGGCCCTTCCTCAGGAGCCCAGCCTACGCTTCCTGTGGTGATGTGCAGGCATCAGCAGCCCAGAACCCCCATGGTCCCAGATTCTAGCCCTGCAAGTTCTTACACTGCAGTACATGATGATGCCTTTTGGTCTGCAGTTTAGAAAACACCCTTGAAAGGAATTCTGGTGTGGCCAGCAATGCAAAAAGCACCAGGCCACTTTCTGCAACAGCAGCAATGTTAGGTTCATTTTATAGCATACATGCTGACACTCTTACCTTTTCCATCAGACTCTGCTGAGATCCTGACAAGACACTAACAAATCCCTCAAGGGAGCCAAGGAAGTCCTGCCGAATATTAGCTGCTTGCTGAGGACTACCAATCTCACCCCAACCTTGGTTCATAGTCTTGATGACCGGAATGAAGATTTCTGACAGCAAATGCTGCACACTTTTTAGTAAGCCGCCCTGAGCAGTATCCAGCATATTGAAATTCACTTCCTGAAAGAAGGGGATATGATGCATATCAAACTGGATAATAAAGTTGGTTAAGATATATGTATGTGATTATATAGGCTGGTCACATTATAGGTGCTTGGAGAATTAGAACTTCAACTCCTGTTCTTTAGCAAAGGCTGCAAGAATCCTAGTCCTGAACAGACTGGCCCCTCTCGGGATTGTGGCTCAGTTGAACTGGCTAGCAATGAGCATTTCCCTGTTCCAATTTATTTACGTGGAAGCAGGCAACTCCTGTCCTCAAAGAAGCGGGAACCGAACGTCCTGATGAGGTGGCCCAAAATTTTTTTGGACGCATTCATCCAGTATTCCACAAAGACCTAGGTAAACCAGAGAGGTCACCATTGTACACCTGGACTCACTTATTTCAGTATTAAACCAAAATAGGTTTTGAGGTCTCAGAATAGAATAGTTTTGTCAACAATACATACACTGAATTTGCCACTGACAAGGAGTTCGGAGGAAAATTTTCAGACTCCTGGCATGAAAAGTTCAAAGGAAACCTTGTTCCTTTGAGTTGAGATCAATGTCAAATGCCAACTGAGGTACTATTTTAATTGGGGTAAATTTACAGTGTCCTCAGCAATGGTATGTGGTCATTTTAATCACAATTTCTATATTTAGTTAAACACTTGAGTAAAATAAGTGTGTAGCATATCACTACCTAACGCAGAGTCAGGTAGATTAAAGCAGGCATTCCATAGGGGACTAACCACAAATACACTGCTGTTTATACAGGGAAATCCCAGAACCAACAACAAAATTAACAGTTGCTATGTTAACTTCAATGATGGAACATAGGAAAAGTATCTTGAGAGGTCCTAAATCTGTCAGATTTTAACATCATAACCAATGCTTTTAATTACTCCTAAATGTAGGTAGCCCATCATATGCTCATCACCCATCTCAATTAAGAGTGAGGTTTAAATTTTTTAAAGTACCTAAACCCATCTTCCAAAGCACCTAAGTGACTTAGGAGCTTAAATCCTATTTCAAGTTAATGGAATTTAGGTGGTTTTGATTAATTTATGTAGATTTGTCTTTTCTTCACCAAATGAAGCCAATGAATGTTTTTCAAAGGGTAACCCAAAGTAAAGCTTTTACAGTGAACTAGCCTGGAGAAGAGCAAGGCAAGGTTGACTGTGACAAGGACTTATGCAGAGCTCCCTGAGTTACCACCACTATCTAGGAATGTAAAACTAGCAAACATCTGATTATGACCCCTAGATTAGGAATTATATGGGAAAATGGTAGACATATGCCCCTACTTAAGGATGGAAACCAAATCCCTGACCACCCCTCCTGGTACTATACTTCCATTCTGAAGATTCCATACCTTTGCCAGTTTATATACCAAATACACGTTCAGCGACTGCTTCATCTATAACTGGAATACAGCAACATCTTCAGGGCTGGGACTATTGTGTATCAGAGTACAACCATTTAAGGCATTTAGCCCGTAGAACTACAGGGTCAAGGATTGAGATACCAGAGCCAAAATATTTGATAAAATTTGCCTCTCCTTGCCTATTAGCATCACTTCCATATTTTTTCAAAGCAAACTTCAACCATCCTGTATCAGTCACCTTGTTACTTCCTGGTTCATTGGAAGACATCCCAAGAAGCATTGTTCAGTGACACCAAAAATATTAACAACATGGGTTGTAATCAAACTGCTGATATTGATATCAGGCAGTGATGCGTTTGGGTACCTTCAGTCAATCCGGAAACTACAGTTAGTTTGCCTGTGAAGTTTTATGAAAGTCTAGTTACAAAGTTTGTAGTGACATCCCTGCATCCTTGTCAGTGAGTTTCCAGTTCTGTCTCAATGATTTATGCTTTGCAGCTCACTCTTAAGAGTAAAACATACTGTATGTCTACCACTATTTAAGCATAAAGGGATACATTAAGAAATTCTTTACCATACACCATGCTCTATTTTTGATTGTGGCTACTTTCTTGCATGCACTATTAAATAGATAAGAAAAATCTTTAAAGGGTTAATCACTACATGCAATTCAAGGAATTGCATTAATACAGGATCTTTCAAGATGGACTAAAAATATTTATGCTGAAAGGATTAACAAGTAAATATATTTAACTGTACAGTAAAACACTACATTACAAATCATTAAAAGCAAAAAAATTAAGATTTTAATGACATATCAGATCTCAAATTCATCACATCCTCATGAACGACAGATCAGTGTTTTATGCTACTTACAAATATTTACATGTCTTAAAAGACTTCAATCAGTATAGGATCTCTGGTTGAAAAGCACTTTTAATAGTTTACTAGTTACTTTAATAGTTTTCTACAACACCACCAACTCTGTTCCCTGTTTAGATTCTGACACCCTAGAATGCTAACAATCTCTGGTATCAGAGACCCAAGCTATCAAGAGTCTTCATGTTTTGATATGCATTCCTAATTGTCAGAGGATCATGAGATGAACTGTGTCCATTTTGGTCACCTCAGATTATGCCAGAGTTAAATATTTCATTGGGTACGCTTTTATATTTGAGTACATATATTTTGATTTTCATGTGTTCTTTGTGCAAAACTTGATTCGATCATATAGACAAGCACGAGATAATTTTCACTGCAAGTCCGCAAGACTAATGTGTGGAACAGCTGGCTGTAAAAACAAAAAGTGACGCCTATATAAAGTTCAAGATTCAGCATCACCGTTTGGCACAGTCTATGGTGTGGTCAATAAATCATCACTGGAGATGCTGCTGTTTGTTTTCTTAGACCCTGACACAAATTTTCCCTTTTTGCTCCCCACTATTCAAATCTTGTGTTGACTATAACAATGTGCTTGAAGTTGGTGCCACTGACTGCTACCAGCACAATTGTTTGTGACAGACAAACTATGCCACATTTCCTCAGTTACACTCTTCCTTCAGTGGAAAACGCAACAATATTCCCTTTTTGGAGCTCTGCTCAGTTAATTGTACCAAGAGGTCTCAAATTACAAGCTGCTATGATGCACCATAGAAATTGAATTAAATTTAAATTTCTTATACTAACATCCAACATTAACCTTTGTCTTACCTGATGGATATTCTCTGCAGTGATGGTTTTGGAAGGACTAGATCTAATGAAGAATACACATACACCAGTTAGGGCAACATCTATTCCCTCTGTCACAAACACTTTAGGTTTCTTGCTCCTTGCTGAGTGAGGACTGGGTCCTGTGCCTGGTAGGCCAAAATGTCCTATAATTTATATGGGGGGGGGAAAAAGAGTTAGTTGGGAGGAGGGATAACTCAGTGGTTTGAGCATTGGCCTGCTAAACCCAGGGTTGTGAGTTCAATCCTTGAGGGGGGCCATTTAGGGATCTGGGGCAAAAATCTGTCTGGGGATTGGTCCCCTTTAAGCAGGGGTTTGTACTAGATGAGGTTCCTTCCAACCCTGATATTCTATGAATAGCTATGGTAAGATATTCTTTCTAAAGGAAGGAAAGCACTAGCTCAACTTTTCCATACCTAGTACAGGAGCTGCTCCTAAACTGAACCGGGAACAAAAGTTTGTGAAGGGGAGACTGGGGTCTACACCTGGTTTAAAAAAAAAAAAAAGTTGTGTAAACTTTCACTAAAAATGGAAAAAATATATTTGAAGTTTTAAGTCAACATGGAAAAAATGCCTCAAATTCAACATGAAAATTTTCATTTGGGTATAGTTTTTGAAAAGTTAGTTTTGGTTTTCAGGGGACAGACAGATGGAGATGGACACACACATTTTCCTGTGGTGAAGGGCACCATAAAGTAAAGAGGAAAACAGAGGGTGAAAGGAAACCAAACATATAGCTTTCCCACCATCCTAAAGAAAAACAGATCAAAATTGTTTGGTTCAAAACAAATATTTTGGTTTTGAAATGAGCAAAAAGGTGAAATATGGATATTTGTTATCTTTAAAAAATAGTTTTCATTGAAAAGGGAGAAAGAACTGTGGCCAGCTTTATTAAGTTATACTGTTATGTTTTAAGGCGTGAGGGACAATACCGCGACTAGGAAGAGAAGAGCAAAGCTATCAAGTGCTGAGAAACTCAGCTCTGCCTATGGTATCCATTAGGGACATCTATATGTCCAACTATGTATCCAGTAGTAGCAATAGTAGAGATTGAGTCTCATTTGTTTATTTCTTATGCACATGAATAGTCACTAAGTAAACAGTAATATTGCTTGTACTGGCAAGGTTACCTCAGATTAAGGGATACATAATTGTGCCAGCAAAAGGCTAAAAAGAAGTTTGCAGAAAATTTTTTAGAGGTGATTAAGTCAGAGTTAAGAACAAGGAGAGATGGCAAGTGAGACCACCAAGGTGGCACAGCAACGAGTCAGAGTTAAGCAGAATATGGGGTAGTTAAGTTACCTTTCTTTGCGGGTAAAGACCTACACCATATAGTTACCCTTTGCAAGCACTGGATGTGAGGAATTGTTTGAAAGATATCCCAATAAGATGGTGATTTGAGAGTGTTAATAATGAGCTAGAGCTTAAACAAGCATCTGAATAATAGGATCACACTTCCATCCTGAAGTTTGGCCAAGATCATAAAGCAACAACTTTGTGTTTATTAATGGAAACTAGAAGTACTGCTACTAAGTGATTGGGTTGGGAGAAGGAAAACTATTACATTTTTATAGTTTAACTTTAGGTTATAAATTAACTTCCTCTACCCTTTTTCCCAGTTCATTTGCAAAGTAAATGTCAAAAACCTAAGGGCCTCATTACAATACAAATTAAATCATGCAGTTAGGTTAGTAGGTTTTTGTTTTTTTTTTTGCCCTCAAGATACTCAAAGCAAAACTTTTGTTTTGCCTTGTCACTCAAGAACTTAATGAACCTTTTTCAGCAACGTACCAACATCAGGTCAATAAGCCTGGGAAAAAGGAGGTCATTCATTCAATATGCATGAGTAATTTCTTTAATCTTCTGATGGTGTAATGTGATCATATTTGTGAGCCACAAGAAAGAAAAAATAATTACTAAAGGTTAGTAAAGTTTTTATCTACTTGAGTAGATAAAAAATAATTTGTGAAGACATGTGTGTATAAATATATTTGCGCATATGTCAAAGCCAAATGGTATACAGTTGCTTTCAGCCTACACTGAAAGTAGTTAATTTTACCTAATTATAATAGTGCCTCAAGACATGTTTAAGACAGAAAAGAAAACCTGACCTTTTAACCTTTCTCCCACTCCCTGAGTTGATTTGCAAGACTGAGATTTTTCTTTCTGTCTTCACTTAGTTTTTAATAGATACTTCCAAGCCTCCCAGTTTCTAGGGATTTAGGTTTTTAAAGAACAAATGGTATCAGAGTTTCTCCTCATTTTCTATTAGCACTAAGTTTTAATGACACTCACAATGCATTCAGAAATAATTTTGCTAATTTGCATTATTAATTGCTTGCCTAATAGACTTTACAGCAAGAGAGAGCAGTACGTTAACATCTCCTCTACATTTTGATTAATGGACTTTTTTGTAAGTTGTATTTTGAGCGGAGAGAAAAGTTGACTATTATTGCGTAATGTGATGGTGCGAGACTGAGTACATACAACATTCCGTTATTCAAGACATTATTGATTAAAAATTTCATCCTCCTTACCTCATACATTTCCTGCCAAAAATCAGACTGATGAACTGTAACAATTTCTGGAGGTAGATTACAGATTTTAAAACAGGAACTATTTCTTCTGATATAAAAGGTGTAACCTTTCCCACAGTTGGCGCTATAGGCAGTAGCCTGGTAAGAAACCCAATATGATTTCCGTGTAGTAGCCAGGAGATTAAAGCAAGCTGCTGGGCTTCTTAGCAGGATGTAACCACCAAATAGCATAGGGTATGCCACTGGGTTCCCTTCCCCTTTTTTGGTATTGCTTTTTGCTAATAAATGTCACAGATTTTGAAGCTGTCCTATAATATTCTCCTTTCTTCTCTCATTACCCATCAGATGTTTTCACGTCCCTCTTTGCCATCTGTTAGTTTCTCCCTCTTTTCATCAAACTAGCTCCATCCCTCAGTACCTCACCTCCATATACAGTCAACCCATTCCTCCCCTCTACAACATCCACCCTACTTCAAAATTTAATCTTCTAGCTCCAAGTGTAATTACACCAGGTGTAACTCTGTCAGTCACTGGCACACAGGTGTAAGGCAACCTGACTGAGGTTCAGAGTGACTTATATGTCACTTGAAGCTGGTAAATTCAGGAGAATCACCCTTCTAAATTATTTCCATCCCTCTGCAAATGCTTCACTTTTGAACGTAATTCAGTTTATCTACTCTGTTTAAGGTTACACAGACACACAGATACCATATCACGGAGCATCATCACGGTTAGTTTATTGCATATGTGCAATACATCCTTGGCATTCACAGAATTTAAGTGGAGGGAAATTAGAAGCATGTGATTTAACAAGATTTCAGGTGCCTTGATCCTCACTTTATTTAAATTGGAAAATAGCTATGTTTAAATATCACCTAGCACAACTCGGGGTGTGACATGTTACAGTAAAGCAAATAGTACTATTACAAGTTACTTAACCAGTTTCAGGTGTCTCCACATCTTGATAGTAGAACATGATATGACGAAATCCTTCAATGGCCAAGAACTTATTGATGCGCTCAATCTGTTGAAAGGTTAGGTTAGATCATTTACATACTTTTCCTACTTATTTACTGGATAGCTTAGCAGCATTCACAAAATCAAGCCTGAAGTACATGCATTTTAGCATCATTGTTAAATATGAAAGTTAAACCATTATGTAAGGCCCAATTCTGCCACTTTTATTGAAGCTGAGTTGCTTCTACCCAGGGCCACCCAGAGGATTCAGGGGGCCTGGGGCAAAGCAATTTTGGGGGCCCCTTCCATAAAAAAAAGTTGCAATACTATAGAATACTATATTCTCATGGGGGCCCCTGGGGCAAATTGGGTCACTGAGAATCTCCCACAGAGCAAGTACTTCAATTTTGCAAGATCCTAGAGAAGCTCCATCTACTAATCAGATGCGTCACATTCAAAAGTCTGGGTTTAACCCCAGGTTGATCTTCCATTCTGTTGAGGCCCAAATGTGAACATGGGAAATGAAGGGCTCCATTAAACATGGAAAGGGAGTTACTTCTTTCCTAATGAAGTTAACCTCTCTTGTAAACTTTGCAAATTCTCAATTATGTATTTTAAACTTAATATTCTATAGCCTCAAAAGCTGGAAGTGCAATATAGCTGAACTTGAGTGCAAGATGAGGGAAAAGTAATTAGAGGAGTCTGGTGATCCAGAGGCACGTACAAGTTAACTGATAGCTGCTATAAAAGTTACGATAGTAACTCTGAAGCCAGAAAATGTGCTACAGACTCTACAGAGGTAAAATTCAACATACCTGGTTACCCTCAAGAATAGCATCTTCCACTTCAGCTTTGTCCAGGTCCACGCAGGAAGCAACAATATCCAATATATAATCATGCCTGCCATCCAGCTGAGCTCTTTTGGCCTCCTTCTCCTCCTTGAGCTTTTGCTGTAAGAAAACATTGACCATTGGGAGAAAAGTTAGAACTGCTAAAGTGATTTGTACAACTTAATTTGCTCACTTTTCAAGCTACATCTCCTTCTTTTGGTGTTTACTTACAGCTGACCTATTTTTAGGCCCCAACTTATACTTGTGAAAAGTTATGAAATTTAAAGTTTTACAACTAATTTACTTGGTTCAACCATTCAATTTAGCCTACGACTTTATAAACTAAGTGTATTATATAGCATCATGTATTCCTATCAGAGGCCTTCTCTGGAGGAAATTGCATGAGGTACCATCCATATCAGGCTACATAAATCTATCACAATCCTCAGCTCCTAAAGCCACTAGTCCCTGTTTTTCAAACTATTTACATATGCTGTTTAGATCAGGTCATGATTCCAACACACCCTATTTGTTAGTCATGTAGGATTGCTAAGGTTTTGTGCAGTAAAAGGACAAAGGAGCTAACTGAGGTGGTTGGGATTTCACACATTATCTCTTTAGTATAAGGAGATGTAATACAAGCAATAAGCCTGAAGATACACAAGTGTTTACAAATGCAGTTAGCTCCTGCTATTAGATTGGTTTTTCAAATACTATATCTCAGCTTCTAATTAAATTGAATCCCATATGCAACACATCTCATTTGGTTAGAGACAAAATAACCTTCTGGAATAGTTGCTGGTATTATTGTGCTTGCAGATCACATGAATTAATATTATTTCATTTTCAATAGAAATTTAGAATTATATTTTGTTGGTGGTAAATCCAAACTTAATTTCCCCAGTGATAATGGAGACTCCAGTAATTCTAGAGCATGAATGCAAGTAATATAGCCAGAAGCTGTAGCAGATCCAATAGGCCTTGCATAATTGCAATTATTCCCTTATGTAAATATCCTTCCTAATTATTGCAGGATCTTATAGAAGAATTTGTAAAAATTTCTTTAAGTTCTAGAGACATTTGTTTAGAATGCTTGATTGTGTGGGGAGAGAATTCTTTTCTGTTAACTTATAAAATAGGTGACTGTGTTTTCATTAAGTTGATATGGTTGAAGAAGGCAATGGTAGTAAAATATTAGTTTTGTGCACGTTAAGCACAATCTTTTATCATATCTGCAACTCGTTTGGTCCCTGGAAACTACAAAAGGATAAAACAAATGACAATGTGCTATATGCTGCAATCTGTGGGCTTCACTCTGTGAGGTGGATAATCCTTGTTTTACAAAGAGAAAGATATTCAACTATAAAATGGCATCTCACATTTGTCAGTGTTATTTTGCTCATTTTGTCCTTTTAAAAAAAAGTTGTCACATGACTTGAGCTCAATGTTCATTTACCCATGAAGCTGGTTAGCAAACTGATAGAGGGTGAAGTTCCTCCCTGTGATGGGGGGTCTATTGCAATTTCTTTGCCCCATCCCCGCTGGAGGCTGTGCCACCCTGACACCCCCTGCCTAGGAAAAACCCACTCAACCCAGGGTACTCACAAGAATTAGTTCTCTAATGGCCAGGCAGAAACAGTAACCAGTCAGGAGTCGCCAGGCAAGTTAAGAATGCTGGCCTGCTTCAAGCCAGGATGAGTGTGGGTAGAGCTGGGACAAGAGAGGAACTCCCCAGTCTCATCCAGAAACATGGGGCCAGGTTAGGGCCTTTGTTTCCAGCACTGCGAACAAGCAACTACATTTTTGTTTACTAGTTTAAAGTTGTAGACAACCAAATTGTATTTTTGTTTGTTCGTTAACCACTTAAAAACTGAGACCATGTTCCCTGCCAGAGTTCTTCAGCTCCAGGCATGCTGCCACAACTTGGTAGTAGAAATGGAATCGACTTCTCCCCTTTTCCAAGAAGGGGGCTGTGGAAGATCCCTTACAACTCCTGGCTCAGCAACTGCCAACCCAGGTGGAGAACCAGCAACTGCTCCTTGAAGAACAGGAGGCCTAGTGGGCCACCCAGCTGCAGCAGAGTGCTCCTCAAGCCACTTCCGCTGTTGCAGAAATGATAGCAACAGCATTTCCAGGAGGCCATGCTTCAGTAAGTCACCAACTGTTCCCCATCTGAAGCAACACCACTAGGGCTGGATATAACCCTCTCCAAATTAAAGCTCACTGATGATCTTGAGCCCTATCTCATCATGTTTGAGCAGGTAGCCCCAGTAGCTAAGTGGATGAAGATTACCTGGGCCATGCAAATAGATCACTTTCTGTCTGGGGATGCTGCTTACCAGGCCTTGATGACAATGCCACCAAGGACTATGACATCCTGAAAGCTGCTATATTCAACCAACTGGGGGCATCCCTGAAGATATACCGCCACCAGTTCTAGACCCACTTCCACCTAGAGCACAAACCAAGGTTGTTGCCCAGTGCCTAAAGGACTGGGTCAACCACTGGCTTCAGCCAGAATACTGTTCTTCAGAGACTAAAGACTCGGTATTGCTGGATTGATATCCAGAGGTGTTGCAGCCTTTGTCAGACCTGGGTACACAGACAGAATCTTCGAGTCACTGTCAGCTGCCATCCAACTCAGAGGAATTTGAGGGCAGGCTAGCCGTGCAAGGATGATGGACATAGGCCTAGAGGGCCACAGGCCTAACCACATGAGGAGTCAGCTTTGGTTATCAGGAAGGAACTGGAGAAGTCCCGGAATAAGGAGCACCCTTCTACTAAACCCCCAGGAGGCTCTCCGAGACACTGCCCCATGAGCCGCTTGAAGAGGAGCATGCAGAATCATGACCAGCAGGAGGCAACTGAGGATCCCCTAACTGGACAGTCATCTGTTTTCAGTGGGGGAAACCTGGGCATCTTAGCTGTTTGTGCCCTCTCATGGGCTGCAATTACTTGGTGTCTCTTGAACCAAACAGAGGAGAATTGTAGCTCAAGTATGCCTTGGGGCAGTGTTGAGGCTAATAGGCTTAGGATGCTCCCAAACCTTAGCGTGGGAAACCCTACTAGACCCAGAGAAACCACAGTAGGATGACTGGTATTCAATACCTCCTCAAGTTTCTGTACAGCATATACAATGCCTCCCTTTTGCTTGCTGCTAGGTAACAAGATGCTAGTGAATACAATGTTCTTGACAGTTATGTTATTCTTATGGCTAGTCTATTTGTTTTCTTATGTGCTATTCAGAGTGGATGATACAGACATGCCTGAAGGCTAGTAAAACATTAATAAAGTGTTTACATTTAAATTCTGTTGGCACACAAAACTACGGTTAATATACACCTAATCAGCTTGAGTAGTTCTCAAAAAAGAGGACTCTCTCTCATCTTTACACTTTATAGCTCCTGAATTTCCCACTGAACTCCTAGGTTGCAACACTTCATAAAACTACTTGCAAACTCAGCCATGGAGTTACTGACTTTTATTAACTCAGCCCGTGTACTTAATTTAATACACATGTTATACACCTACTCAAACTCATAGTCAAAAAATTACAAAAGGTTGGTCGGCAAAGTTTCTGAGTGCCTATTTTCCTACAGATCAGTACTTTCCTGTAGGAAATCTGTTGAGCAGTCTATGAAATATTCAAACAAATATTTGGAAATAAGACCTCAAATAATCCTATGTGTAACTCCTTTCTATTCAATTAAGTTATACCAGGGCTCAACTGGGCTAATTGTTTTCTGACATGGCTTTAAAATGGTTATCCACAGCCTATTTCTCTTTACAAAGTTTTGTCATTTAAAAGACAGCATAAAGATAACAGGACCAATTAATGCTCAAGATTATTTTATTATCTGATGCAAAAATCACCACAACCATCAAATATACCCTTCCAGCTACTGGCTGGAGTTAGGTTGATAGGGAGCCTTAATTGTGGATTTCCTTAACTTAGGGTTTTAAACTGAAAAGAAATCTAAACTAACTTTTGAATTCTTGTTTTGGGGTAATTACACCCTAGCTATACTATATTGTGCCTTAGTTATGGTGCTGGCTGGGTCTATGTGTGGTATATGCACCCGCAGCCCCTAATGGGTGTGAGACCTCACAGCAGGGAAAACCCCTGACTCAGGAAGTAACCTTTAGAGAAAGGCCCAGGGAGGAAAAGCAAAAGTGTTCTGAGTCAGCAGCAGGAGGGGAGCTG